ACCCCCCCCCCCCCCCGCCCCGATTGTAGTAACCCAAAATGTCTGCAGATACTGCCAAATATCCCCTGGGGGGAAAAATTGCCTCGAATTGAGAACCATTTGCCTTGACGCAATGCTCACCCAAGGCCTCTGGGAGAGGGAATCAGGCTGCAAGATGATCACTTCTTGAGCCAAATGCTTTCTCCATCCTGCTCCTAAGGGACAAGGTGCAGAAACATCATTCTGTCCTTAAGGACAGATTGTTCAAAAGAGTTAATCTTTTTAACTAATGGGAAAATTTCATAGGCCATCCATGGATTTATGAATGGGCAGTTCTCACAGTAGACTTATAAATCAGTTGTTTGGGGGGCTGGCCCGGTGGCGCACTGCTATAGTGCGCCACTTGGGAGCGCGGCGGCGCTCCCACCAAGGGTTCGGATCCCACATACAGACCGGTTCCTGCTCACTGGCTGAGCGAGGTGCGGGTGCAGCGCTGAGGGTTGCGATCCCGTTGCCGGTCCCGGTCCGGTACGGGCATGACACTGAGGGTTGCGATCCATTGCCGGACATGAAAAAAAATAAATAAATAAAAATAAATCAGTTGTTTGGGACACAACATAGAAACAGTAATGTTGGAACCACACATGCTCTGATCCTCCAAGCATGGCCGGGCCCTGCAGCAAGTACCAATGTAAGTGTCCTCTTTGGAGTCTCAGAAATAGTCCCATTTTAAAGATGAGGACTGCAAGGCTAAGAGAAGGCAATGACTTCCCCAGGATCACTCATCTTGGGAGTGCAGAGCCCAAGTCCATTTCCCCCAAATTTAGAACAAACTTTCCAATAGAGACAGTGGTAAAAATGGGTATAGGAAAGATGGGCCATAATATAGTTGGAATATCATATAGTCTACTATCTGCAAAATCAAAAACAAAAAAAAAAACCCAAAAGAGTATAAAATCCATAGAGGAATTGTGATTTGAAACTAAGGCTCTTGTTTTAAGCAACAAAAACCCAACTTACACTAGCTTATGGGAAAGGAAAAGTCACAGGGAATTTATTAGCTCTTGTATTTATTAGCTCATATTCGTGGGATCTCCTGGGCATAACTCATCCAGGAACTCGGGTAACACCACCAGATCTCCATTTCTCTCTGTCTGTTGGCTCTGTCATGTTAATTTCACTCTCCAATAGAGTGGCAAGAAGAGCTACCTATAGCTGCAGACTTATTTTCTACCAATGATGGTTCCAGCTTCTCTGCCCCAACATGGATTCTATGTCCATTCCTAACCCAATCACAGTAGCCAGGGGACTAGAATGTATTCACTGGCCAGGCCTCAATCACCTGCCACCCCTGGAATGGACTCAGTTCTGCACAAACTATGTAAGGAAAGAAAATTAGGGTGTTCTGACCAGAAGACAGGGCGGCAGGTGCAAAAGCAATTATGGCATGGCAGTGAAAGCTCATGAATAGGTGCAGATCATCTTCGTGTCCTTGAGCAAAGTGCTATTGCTGCTCTGAGCTTTGGTTTCCCTGTGAGTAAAGGAGAGCTAGTAAACCACAGCTGGGGACAGGGTGGGGAAGGACCTGATGAGACTGTGCATGGAAGGAGTGTTGAGTGTGCCCAAGGCAGAGGGAACGCTAATAAAACCAGCTCCCTTCTTATAAACCAGAGAACACCGGCCAAGAGGAAGTGGGATGGGAGATGGAGGTGGGGGCTGACATGGAGAAAGGATTTCCTTTGTGGCACAAGGAAAAAGGGAAATTGTCCCCTCATCTGATTGCCTCAGAGGCTGTGGACCGTCATCACCCAGCTAAGGGTAAAGCTCAGATACAGCCCTGGCCCATCATTTGTACTGATAGAATATGTGTAAGTCAGATGTTCATAAATCCAGACAGCCAGAAATGCCATGGGCTTGGGCTGCCAAACACCATGGTGCTGGTCCCCTCCTGGGCACCACTCCTGGCATTGGAAACTCTATTCAGCCTCAACCTTTTCTCCCCTCATGGACACCCTCTCCTGCCTCTGGTCCTCACTAGCCTCAGCAGCTGCTTCTGCCTACCCAGACTCAGTGAGACTTCTGTTTTCTCTCCTGCAGGGCTTCCAGAGTGACCCCATCCGCCACCTGTCTACCTACCTGTGCTTGTCTCTAGTCATGGCACAGTTTGTGCTGTCCTGCCTGGCGGATCAACCTCCCTTCTTCCCTAAAGATCCCCAGCAGTCTGTAAGTCACCAGGTTCCCAATCCCATGCCTCCCTTGTCCTGGATCCACTTCAGGTGTCAGTCTCCCCATGTGACTGAAAAGAGTTGAACTAGAGCATAGGTCTTGAATTTTTTATTCTTGCAGCCATTCAGCAAAAGATATATTGCACATCTACTGTATGCCATGGGTTGGCCAACTTTTTCTGTACAGGGCAACACAGAAAATATTTTAGGTTTTGTGAGCCATACAACAATCTGTGGCAACTACTCAACACTGCCACTGTAGCGCAAAAGCAGCCATAGACAATATGTCAACAGTGAGGATGGATGGCTGTGTTCCAATAAAACTTAATTTGCAGAAGCAGGCAGTGGGCCAGATTTGGCCCAGAGGCCATAGTTTGCTAGCCCCTGCTCTATGCCCCAGCTAGATGTTGAGGATCTGCAGTGAACAAGCAGATATAATCCCTGTCCTCATGCAGCTAATAGTCAAGTAGGGGAGCCAGACATTAGCCACATAATTACACAAATATGTGGAAAATTACACCCAGGTAAGGGCTCTGCAGAAGGCCATTCTCCATGAGGGTTTACAACACTAAGAAACACTGAAACAGTCAGGAAAGAATTCTCTGAGAAAGAATCTGATCTGAAATCATCTTTTAAAAATGCTCAAATGCTTGAGTAATCTAGTTAAAACTGTAATAGGACTTTTTTTTAACCTAACAGAATGGCCAAAAAAAAAAATTAAAAATTGATAATAAGCTGTGATGGCAAAGAAGTGGTGAAATGGGCACCTTCATACCTTATTGGTGAAAAGTACAGATTGGTGCAGTCTTTCTGGAGCAGCTGACAAAAGTCTCAGGACAGACCCCTCTGCACAACATTCATGGAGTGATATTGTTGAGGCTGTAGTTGTCTTTGTTATACATGGTCCTCACTTTGAGAACTTCTTGGTCTGAGTATAATAGTTGTTCTTCTGAGCCACTCTTAGTTCTTACCTTGTGGAAACAATTCAGTACCATGGCCCGATCCCTCTTTGCCCTGCCTGCTAGGAAGCACCGAGCCCATGTGTGCCCATGTCTGGCAAGGAGACTAAGCACCCTGGTGTGCACTTTTGGTATTAAGCTCGAGGTCGGTTCATTGTCTCTTTCTGCCCTTGTTTCACCTTACCACATACTCACCATGGGATGTGGGACCGAGGTCTCCCCCTCCCCCATCTTTGGTCTCTTTCAGAATCCATGTCCAGAGGCTGGGGCCTCCTTCCCCTCCAAGGCCATGTTCTGGTGGGTTTCAGGGTAAGTGAAGTGGAAGGGGAGGGGGTCGGTTGGTGCCCCCACCCACCTGCATGTGTCCTTCTTATTTCCCAGCACAGCTCTTTCCCCAAGAGGTTTCCTCCCAAGCTTACAAAGGCCGGCCAAGCTTTCTCTGTCCCAGCCTCAACGCATCCCTCTCAGTTTTCAGTGTGCCCACCGTCCACATCCCATCCCCATTCATTCAATGGAGTAAGATCTGGATTTGAATCCTGGCTCTGACTCTTAATAGGCCATGTCACAAATATCCAGAGTCTCAGTTTTCCCTTCTGTAAAATGGCGACAACTGTACCTTCATTAGATGGAAAGTGCCTAGTGTTTGCACATAGCAGGTGCTCAATAAAATCATATCTACTACTCAGCTTCAGTCATTCCACCAACATTTAATAAGCACCTATTATGGGCTAAGCACCAGGGGCAAGGAGATTAAAGACCAAGTCTGTACCCCCCAGAAGGTCCCAGGCTAGTGCAGAAGACAGCTGCTTCTCCAGCACCCAACCCACCAGGCACTGAGAATGTCTGCACCTACCAGTGCTCTCCTGACTACTCTGCACTCAGTCAGACCTTAGTAGCACCAGACCACGTGGGTTTGAAACCTGGCCCCTTCACTTCCTGTCTGTGTGACCTTGAGCAGGCTACTTAACCTCTCTGTGCTGCAGTCTCTACACATGTAAAATGAGAATAATAGCAGCCTCTACCTCATGAGTCGTGAGGATTAAATGAGATAAGGTTTGTGAAGCACTTAGAACAGGGGCAGGTGTATAACGAGTGTTAGATGAAGTGGTTATTAAATCAGTGAAGAACATGAGTCTCTGCATGTGTGGAATTGGTAGAAAGACCGCTGAAGATTGCTAAACAGCTCTGCTGGGGGAATAGCTCCCTATTCCCAAACCTAGGCATTTATGGATCACTTCATGCTTTTTGCCATTTTGGAGTATCACATGCACTCTATTATTTAATGTCTTTCTTTAAATCAACTTTTTTTTTTTTTTAAAAAAACCTTTTTATTACTGCCAAAGCTTTTTTTTTACTTAAAAAAGCTTTCTGTTACTGCCAAAATCAGAAAGATCTATAGAATCGCTTGCCATAGAGAACTCCTAAAATATTTGTGGGGAAAGCCAAGCAATGATAATAATTTCTAGATCAAAACTGCTGCTTGCCTGAGTTTGCACTGTATTAGAAAAGGGAATTTGGTGAGGCTTAGAGAAGAGTCAAACACCAACACCTTCTTCTTGGTGCCATCCAAGAAAAGATTAAAGAAAAAAGAGAGAGAGGAAAAAAAGAAAGTTTAAAGAGACCTGAAAAGGAAATAATGCTCCCATTATGGAAGTCTATGGTATTTAATTTCTTACTTATGTGCCAACTGTAGTCATCTCATATGAGCCCATGTGTTGGGAAATGCTCTCATTTTAAGATAAGAACATTGAGGCCTGTTGATGGGAAGGGACTTGCCCAAGGTCACAGGGTTGATAAGTGGCTTCATTAGACATATCTTGTGCTCTGTGCCAGGAGGAGAGGATACAGAGGAGGGAGAATTAAGTGAGTACTACCTTTGCCCCCGTGGAGCTGACCAGCCAATGGTAGAGAAAGACACTAAAATAATTAGACCAAAAAAGTAAATAATCATAAATGTGACAGGCATTATAAAGAAGAGGCTTGGGAAACTGTGGGCACTTATAATGAAATTACTTGGGCTGTGGGTCAAAGTGGGCTTTCCTAAGGAAGTCACATCTGAGCTCAGGTGTGAAGCATGAGTAAGAAATGGCCAGGTGAGGAGTGGTGGGAAAAGAATTTTAAGCAGAGTAACACACACATGCAAAGGTCCTGTGGCCAGTGGGACCACAGGAAGAGAGTGGGGACATTTGAAACTGAAGGAGGAGTACAGACTTCCTCCACAGTGATAGTTTTGGACCCTGTACTTCTGACTCCCAGGGAGAGGTATATTTCCCCTACCACATGAGCTGTTCCTTAGTTAAGTCACTTAGTCTCTTTAAGCCTCTATTTTCTTCATCTGTAAAATGGGTCAATAATAATCTACCATACAGGCTCCTGTGAGAATTAAATGAGGTGATCTTTGTACACTGAAAAGTGCTCTGCAAATTTCAGGTGGGGTTAGATTAATTGCTTTCATTTTACCCAGAGAGGTAAAGTGATTTACCCAAGGTCACACAGCTCCAAGGCCAGGACCCTGCAGGGGTGGATGGTGGGAGGAGCTTGCCCTGGTGACCCTCTTTTACAGGCTTGTCTGGAGGGGATACAGGAGGACGCTGGGAATGAACGATCTCTGGTCACTTGGGAGAGAAAACTCCTCACAAGAGCTTGTTGCCCAGCTCGAAAGGGAGTGGACGAGGAACCACAGAGCAACCCAGCGGTGAGTGTAGAGGGCAAAGCTGAGCCCCATGCTGGGTCAGCAAAATCATCCTTCGGTCCCCAGTCCAGCCCCCAACCCCTCTGGGCTCCAGCATCACACTCCCCTGCCTGCCAGCTGATCCCGCTAAGCTTTCACTGATCAGGCTCAAGATTCAATTCCTCCAAGAATGTTCTGCAAGTTCCACTACAAATGGAATTTTGAGGCGCCCCAGAGGAAGCTCCCATGGTGGAATGGCAGGCAAGAAACAGAAGGGATATTTTAAGACAGGGATGGAGGGTTGGGTGGTGGCCCATAACATGCAGGCAACTAGTCACTTATTGCATAACCTGAGTAATTTGTTTCCTGGGCCTCAGTTTTGTCATCTGTTCAATGGGGATGTCATTAGCCCCTAGTTCATAGCTTTGGGAGATGAAATAAGATGATGAATGGAAAAGAACTTAGTGAATTCCTTGAAAATGATAAGAGCTCAAGCGATATGAGTTATCCAGAGGATTTCAGCCTCTTTGGAGTTGTCCATTCTGTCCATTCTGCCTCACTCTTGCCCTTGGTGGCGTCTCTGGAAACTTCTGTGGAGCCTGAGGAACCCCCAGGTTTGAAAACCTGTGGTCTAGAGAAATGAGCTTGCAACAGAGGATTTAGATCAACTTGGGTTAACTGCTGCCCTGCCATCGAGTAGCTGATGACCTTGGACAAGTCACTTGACATACTGGACCTCCATGTTTCAGGGACAGAACAAAAGTAAGTTAGCTCTGGGCTGGCCCGGTGGCGCACTGCTGCAGTGTGCCGCTTGGGAGCGTGGTGGCGCTCCCGCCGAGGGTTCGGACCCCACGTACAGACCGGTTCCCGCTCACTGGCTGAGCGAGGTGCGGGCGCAGCACCGAGGGTTGCGATCCCGTTGCCGGTCCCGGTCCGGTACGGGCGCGACACTGAGGGTTGCGATCCGTTGCCGGACACGAAAAAAGACAAAAAGGACAAAAAAAAGAAAAAAGTAAGTTAGCTCCGTGGGAAGAGCTACAAGGTTCACTTGTGTACTCTGGGGATTTTGGGTGGTCGTTGCAGATGCTGAATCCCACTAGTTAGAAGAAGCATGAAAGAGAGAGAGGGGAAGAGAGTCTATAGGCTCACATAACAAAGAGATCTAGCTTCAGGTATGGCCGAATCCAGGGACTCACGGGATGTCAGGATTTTCTCCCTTCATCTCAGCCCAGCTGTTATCTGCCTATTGGCCTCTCCCTAAGGCCTGTCCCATACCGTGTCATTTCAGCAACTCCAGCAGAATGAGAGAGCCTCTCTCTCCTAATGTCCATATAGAAAATCCCAGGGAAGGCCTCTGACTGGCCTGGCTTAAGTCATGTACTGATCAGGGGCTGATCCCAGGCCCAGGGGGCTGGTCCCATGATTGGTGATCCCTCCAGAGCCACTCAGAGGTGGGTAAGGGCTGCTCCCCAAAGGAAGGGGGGGTGTTTTTCCAAAGGGGTTATGTAAGGTGAGCAAACCAAGACAGCAGCTTTCTGTGTCACCCCCAGCTCATCCTGCTGGGCTGCCCTCCACTCTTAAACAATTTTACAGAAATGGCAGAATTCATTCCAAAGGGCTCTAGAGATCCATCCCACCCTCTCCCAACTCCTGGCCTCCCTGTCCGGCATGATAGTTACAATCACCCAACATTGGAGCTAGAAGATAGAAACATTCTCCAGAACAGTTTGCGAATCCTCCTGTAAACAACCGACAGACAGAAAAGGGAAAGGCAGTTATACAAAGACCAGGTTTGTTGATTTTCTAAACCAACTGATTACACACAGAGAGAACTTTGGTTTTATTTCTGAAATATTTTGTAATCACTGGGGGAAGGGATACAACACCATTCAGTGAGGTCACAAACGAGTCACCTGCTGGCCAAATCAGGTTCACAAGGTATATTGGGTCCACCTGATGTTTTGTAGTGGTGGTAGTTGTTTGAGTTGTTTTGTTTTTAAATAAATGGTCAATATTTAAAGCTTTGGAAATATCACATAAAAATCAGGAATTCTGGTCTCACTTAAAGTAGACCTGGCAGCACTGGGCCACATCCCCACATGGCAACGGGGAATTAGATTTGGGTAGAGGTACACCATTGGACACAGCATGTACTGTTCAGTTTGCTGCAGTCCCCACCACTCCCTTTTATATCCCCCCACTTACACCTTGCCCACACCACTCACTCACACCTCCTGCCTTGACCCATGGTCATTTAAGAGTCCTGTATTAAATGACCTTCAATCCAGAGACCAGAGATGAAACACCAGTCTGGAGATCTTCCATGATGGGAGTGAGACCTGTGGAGAGGAAACAGTTTGCTATGGAGCCTGCAGGATAAATACACTGAATCAAAACTCTGGGGTGAGCAGCTAGACAGAGCTGAGCAAAACATCTGGCCAGAAAGAGGCCTTCATGGTCATGTCTTCCATCACCCCATTTTACTGATGGAAACACTGAGGCTCAGAGGAGAGGAGACAGAGTAGACATTTGAACCACAGTCTCCTGTCTCCAAGTCCAGGTTCTGTGCACCAAACCAAGATGCTTGCTCCTTCCTTCCTTCCATAATTTTTATAACATCATGGGCCGGGCATTCTTGTTAGGCCCTGTGCGTGTATCACCTGATCTGTTTTTTCTCATTCACTTCACAAATATTCACTTCACAAATTGATCTTAAACTATGTTCAGGAGCTGGGCTAGATACTGGAGACATCCTGGTAGAAAATATAGGCAAAGAGCTTGCCCACCTAGAGCTCTAACAAGGCAAATAAAGGAAGAGCTGGAGAGAGTGGGTACAGCTGTGAAGGTGATGAATTAAACAGCAGGATCCAGTAGGGAGGGATGGTCAGGGATGACCTCTGCAGGGAGGTGACATCCTTTTGGCATTTGAAACCCAAATGCCGAATGTTTGTGAGTGGCAGGCCATGCCCAGCCCAATGACAGAGGCCAAGCCACAACCCTTCATAGATGCCAAACCAAACAAGAAGCTGGGCCACAGATGATGGGCAAGGACCTTGGCCTTGGCCTTGTTAGCCAGAGTCTGGCCACCCGGGCTCACCAGAGATTTTCTTTTTTTTTTTTATGGTGGGAATTGGGGGGCCCCTGGTGCACAAGAAGGTGCTATGTGAACCATGAGTCAAGACCAGAGCTCAAATCCTTGCTCTGCCCTCGCTGTGTGACCTCAGGCAACAGTCACCACCTCTCAGAGCCTCGGTCTCCTCCTCGGTAAAGTGGAAACCTAATAATGCCCGCCTGGCAAAGAGGTCAAGGGGAGCCAGTGAGTTCACGCATGTACAGGGCTGATCTCAGCACCTGGCCCAGGTCATTTATCTTTAAATGGAACTGAGAAATGAAATGATTGATAATCCCATAGGTTGTCCAAGCCAGAACGGACTCAGAGGGAGACCAGCCCATCCTTTCACATATGAGGACACTGAGGCACAGAGAGGGGAGCAGTCTGCCCAAGGCCACGTAGCGACCAGGCTGTCAGCAGCTGCATAACCCCAGCCTCTCCCTTATGGCTGAGGACTGACCTGCTTCAGGAAGGGCCCTCCAGCTCCCCCACCTTCTACCCTCCCACCCTCACCTTGGCTCTGCTCTGTGTCCCCCGGTTATAACCAAGGGCCTGGGATCTTACTGCTTCCAGGCTGCCTGAGCTGCTGTCTGTGGTTTCATTCCATGGACAAGAGCTATGTTTCTAAACCAGTTCTCAACTGGTTCAAGACCCCCTAAGGACTGGCCAGTTGCTGGGGGGAGGGGTATTCTCCCCTCCCCCAAGGTGGCAACACAATGGATCAAAAAGTGCCTGGGCTCTGAAGGCAGAGAATTGGGATCAAATCCCAGTTCTTTTACTTCTCAGCTGTGTGCCCTTGGACTGATTCACCCCTCTGAGCCTCAGTTTCCTCCTCTGTGAAATGGGGAGAACACCTGGCTTGCTGGGTTTTTAGGAGGACAAAGAAGTGCCTGGCACACAATAGGTGCTTGAAGCATGTGCATTCCCATGACCGCCTGTGAGGTCACAGGACTGTGCTCCTCCTGCCCCTACCCCTACCCTGGCTGATGTCACACGTGGGTCCTCTGGGTTATAACAGGAACAGATGAGAGGGCCAGGCTGGATCTACATCCATCCTCCCTGTTGTTGGGAAAATAACCCTTTAAAGCCTGGTCCAGCTGCTGGCAGCTGAGAATACAGAACAGAACCCACAGCCAATTTCCCCTCTCCCTCAAGGCACACCAAGGTTTTTAAAAGGAAAGGAGGCAGCAGTCAGAAGGCCTCAGAGACTGAAGTCTTCCTACAGCAAGAAGGCAGCCAGCGGGGCCCACTGCTGAGAGCCATCTGGCAGGTGTTCCATTCTACCTTCCTCCTGGGGACCCTCAGCCTTGTTATCAGTGATGTCTTCAGGTTTGCTGTCCCCAAGCTCCTCAGGTGGGTCCAGGCCTTGGGTGCCGTGATAAAGCTGGTGGTCTCTTAATGGCATCCTTCTAGGCCAGGGGGCTTCAGCTCTCCTTTCGCCTCTGCCTATACCTCTGGTGCTCAGGACCCTTGAGGGTGGGTGAGAAGGATCCTGAGAAAGGGAAAAGATTAATGAGAAAGTGGCTGGTACCTAACTGTATCACTTAGGTTTTGCTGTATGAAAAAACACCCCAAAAGCAAGTGGCTTAAAACCATGGGCATTTATTTATTTAGCTCATGATAATATGGGTCAGCTATTTGGGCTGGGTTCAGCTGGGTGGCTCTTCTTTTCCTGGCTGGGCTCACCCATGTGTCTCTGGTCAGCTGCTGTGTTGGCTGGAGACTGGCTTGTCCAAGTCAGTCTCAGCTGGAACAGTTTGTGTGGTTTCCCATCCTCAAAAGGCCAGCTCAGGCTTCTTCACATGGCCACTTGGCAGGGTTGGAAGAGACGGACCAAAAACTGCATTTTCTCTGGAGGCAGAGGCTCGGACCTGGCATGGTTTCACCTCCACTGTGTTCTGTTGGCCAAAGATGGTTGAATGGCCAGCCCAGATGCAAGGGGTGGTATATTAGTCTGCTAGTGCTATGCATTAGTCTGTTTCTGTTGCTTATAACAAAATATCTGGAACTGGGTAATCTATAAGAAAACGAAATTTATTGCTTATGTTTTCAGAGGCTGGGAAGTCCAAAATTCAGGGAACACATCCGGTGAGGGTCTTGTCTAGTGGTGGCTTTACAGCAATGCAGGGGTCTCACATGGCAGAAAATGGCAGAGCAGAGAGAGACAGAGATAGCTCCTCATTCACTGTCTTTTTAAAGCCCTCAGAACCACACCCACAGCTACCATTAAACTACCAACTTAATCACCTCTTCAAGGTGACTTCACCTTTCAATTACTATAATGGATTTCCCACCCTCAACAGTCACAATGTGGATCAAGCTTCTAATACGTGAAACTTAGGGGACACAGTTCAATCCTTATCAGGCTACATATCAAAGTTCCATAGAATGGGAGCTTAAACAACAGAAGTTTATTTTCTCACAGTTCTGCAAGCTCATTGTCCAAAATCAGGTGCTGGCCAGGTTGGTTTCTGGGAGGCCTCTCTCCTTGGCTTGCAGGTGGCTACCTTCTCACTATGTCCTCACATGGTCTTTCCTCTGTGTGCACACTCCCCAGGTGTCTCCTTGTGTGCCCAAATTTCTTCTTCTTACAAGGACATCAGACAGAGTGAATTAGGCCCACCCCTAACGGCCTCATCTTCAGCTAATCCCCTCTTTAAAGGCACTATCTTCAAATACAGTCACACTCTGAGGTGCTGGGGGTTAGGGCTTCAACACAGGAATGTTGTAGGGACACGATTCAGCCCATAACAGGTGAGGACAAAAACTCCACCTCTGGATAGGAAGAGCTTCGAAGTCACATTAAAAAGGAGTGTGGGGGCCTGGCAGGTTAGCTCAGTTGGTTAGAGCATGGTGCTGATAACACCAAGGTCCAGGGTTCAATTCCTATACTGGCCAGCCACCAAAAAAAAAAGAGTGTAGACAGTAGGGGAAATAATTGCAGCCATTTTTGCAAAAAAGTCTACCATGCCCACCAATCCTCCACTTGGCCTGCCTTGGGCAAGGGTGGGCATCTCCTCTCACCAGCTTCTCCCTCCCTCCCTTGAAAGCCTTTTTCTGGAGTTCATTGGCGATCCCAAGCCCCCAGCCTGGAAGGGCTACCTCCTGGTGATGCTGATGTTCCTCTCGGCCTGCCTGCAAACGCTGTTTGAGCAGCAGCACATGTACAGGCTCAAGGTGCTACAAATGAGGCTGCGGACAGCCATCACGGGCCTGGTGTACAGAAAGGTGAGCCCCAGGGGGAGAGGCGTGGGCCTTTCCAGCCTGGGAGGGTAACATCACTGAACTGTTAATGATAATATCAATGGCTGAGAATGCACTCAGTCCTCACTCACTCAGAGTTGCTCACACTACACTTTCATCTCCTTAGTAATTTCTGAAAGGCCTGTGTGATATGACCCTGGGATCTCCCCAACCTCATCGCATCGCATAACTCACCCTCCTCCAACTACACATGTTCCCTTTGAGTTCTTCAAACATACCAGGCACCCTCCCACCTCAGGGCCTTTGCACTTGCTGTTTCTGCCACCTGGACACCCTGTCCACTCCTCTTCATCTAATTGACTTCCACTCATTCCCCCATGACGATAAAGGGTTAACCTTCTGTTGTGTGTTACCAGGCAACACTGCTTATGGTAAAAATGACCCCTGACCTGTTGGCACGTTGCACCTGGGCAGGAAGTTCTGTCAATGAATACCTGGTGGGAAAGCTATTGCTTGGGCTTCTCTCAGTGCTGTGACTCTTATCCCTCGGGGGACCCTAGAAGCTAAGGCCATGAGGCTGCTGCTACAAGAGATACTGGCTCCCATGGGGTATGGAGCATCTGGGCCAGGACAGTTCCCACCCTGAGTGAGTCTCGTTCTGTCACACCTGAGCTGTCACCTAGTGGAGGAGGGGCAAAAGGAATGGTTCCTGGATGGCTGCAAGGGCAGCTCTCGCACTGCCCTTCCAGCCTGCTGTGTTTCAGGCTCATGTCCCCTGAACATGCTGGAGCTAGAGCTGGGCATGGCATATCCTGTCCTGTGAGTCCGATTGTTTCATCGTGCATAAGAGGAAGATGCCTGGTGGGCACTGTTCTGTCCCACTCCTCAGGGAGGACTCTGTGATCTCCTAATGAGGTCAGACCCCTCCTCTCTATGCTCTGGACTCTGAACACTTATCCTAAGTGTCATTAAAGAATGAATCATAAAAGTCTTCATTGAGTGTTGTCCCCAGTTCAAACTCCCATCCTGGGAGAGCCACCCCCCACCCCCATCTCTGTTGTTCATAGCTGTATTCTTGGTACCCAGCTCTTTAAAGATTTGGTAAGTGGAGAATTTCTACAGACACTCCTTCACCCCCGCCCCCCAACACACACACACTCAGCAGTGAGAGGACTACATATAGAATATAGGATTCAACAGGCTGGAAGGGGTCCACTGTGACCGCAGGGTTAGGGCAGATTTGAGACTGCCAGAGAGCCAGGTTGGTGTCAGAGAGACACATGAGATGCCTGCAGGGGTCCATCCAACACCCATCTGGGCCTAATCATGCCTTAGTAATCCTGGATTCTGATCTTGGCATAGGCACTTTACAAGCCTTCTGACATTGGGCTAGTTGCTCAACTTCTCTGTGCCTCAGTTTCCTCAGCTGTAAAATAGGGTTAGTCATTTGTGCATTTCATTGATTCTAGTCTCACTTTTTTTTCCCCTTTTTAACACTACTGGAAAAGAGATGTGTCTTACATGTCTTAATTTAATTAACAATATTTTTCTTAGTAATACAAAGATACTGTTTTATCTGTGGCATTTTAGATTGAAGGAAATGTGGTGGTGCCTGCTTCATAGACTGTTGTGAGTATCACAGGGAATGGTGAAGCTGTCCATTTAGCACAGCGCCTGGAATCTAGCACGCAGCAAATGACCACCATGATTATTGTTGATATGGTGTTTGGGAGGATGGCTTAGTTTTCCCTAGCCCACTGCATAGATGAGTAAACTGAGACTCAGCAGGTGGAGACAACTGCCCGAGCTGTGCTCCTGCTGCACCTGCACCATGGCTGCCCTCTGCCCCCTCACCTGGCCTTCCCTCCACCTTGGGTCCCCTTCTTCTGCCCAGGTCCTGGTTCTGTCCAGCAGCTCCAAGAAGGCCAGCACAGTAGGGGACGTGGTCAACCTGGTGTCTGTGGATGTGCAGCGGCTGACCGAGAGTGTCCTCTACCTCAACGGGCTGTGGCTGCCACTCATCTGGATCGTCGTGTGCTTCGTCTATCTCTGGCAGGTGCACGGGCAGAGGAAGGCGGGATTTGAGCTCCTCTTTCCCCCTCCCTCCTCCTCCCTCCTTCCTCTCCCCCTTCCTTCTCCTCCTTCTCTTAACATGCCTTCATTTCTGAAAGATAGCCTTTCTGGGTATAGTATTCTTGGCTGGCAGTTCTTTTCTTTAGTGCTTTGAATCCCAGTCTCTCCTGGCCTGTAAGGTTTCTGCTGAGAAATCAGCTGTGAGTGTGAGGGCGGACTCCCTTACAGGTGACTTGATGCTTTTCTCTTTCTGTCTTTAGGATTCTGTCTTTGTCTTTGACTTGACAGTTTGACTACAATGTGTCTAAGAGAGGACCTTTTTCAATTGAATCTGCTTGGGGATATTTGAGCCTCTTGGATCTGAAAGTCTATATCTCTCCAGTACCTAGGAAGTTTTCAGCTATTATTTCATGGAATGGGTTTTCAGTGCCTTTTCCTTTCTCCTCCCCTTCTGGAACACCATGCTTCTGATACTTGTACACTTAAGGTTGTCTGATAGATCTTGTAGGTTTTCTTCTTCCTTTCTTTTTCTTTTTTTTTTTTTGTCTACCTGGATTATTGCAAAAACCCTGTCCTCTAGATCAGAAATTCTTTCTTCTGTTTGCTCTAGACTGTTGCTTAAGCTCTCGGTTGATTTTTTATGTCATTGAATGAATCCCTCAGTTCCTAGAGTTATGCTATGTTCTTTTTTAAGGTATCTATCTCTTTGTACATTGAGTTTCTTTAAGATCATTGCTTGGAATTCCTTTTCAGCCATTTCATAGGTTTCCTGCTGCTTGGGGTCTGGTAGTAGAGAATTATTGTATTCCTTTGGGGGTGTCATATTTTCTTGTTGTTGTTGTTGTTGTTGTTGTTGTTGTTGTTGTTTTCATATTTCTAGTATCCCTATGTTGATGTCTGGTCATTGATGGAACAGTTGCTTCTTCTAATACTCTGGAGTGGCTTTTGAGGAGAGAGACTCCCTCTTCTAGATGTGTTTTATATTCACCATTGGGTGGAATGTTTTAGTTTTGGCTCCAAGTAGATACAGTAGTGTAGTCTCTGTACGGTTACTTCAACTGTATTCAACATCAGAGTTGTCTGTGAGTTCCTCTGTGGCCCAGGCACTGGGGGACTCAGTAGTTCCTTGCTGAAGTAGGGGATACTTTTGAGGGTCTTTCCAGTCCTGGCTGTGGGCCATTTGCCTTCTGGGAGCTTCTCTATTTGGCCACTGGGTGGTGTCATTGCTGCATAAATTAAACAAACTGGCCTGCTCAGTTCCCCAGATTATATCATCTTCCTAGGGGCTGAAAGGGGAAACTGAGGACCACGGACTGGAGTTGGGGTGGGCTTGTCTAGAGAATGCATCCCAAAAACCTCTGGAGGAATCTCAGAAAGTCATAGCAACTTAAAAATTATTTATTCTACCTCCCACTTCCACATTTTCCAAATACAGAAATCAAAGCCAGGAGGGACCATAAATATCCCAAAGTCACAAAGCTGCTGGGGGGTAAGGTTGCCAAAGAAAACACAGGACGTCCAGTTAAATAGGACTTTCGGATAAACTGAAGAACTTTTTGTGTAGGTATGTCCCAAATATTTCATGGGACATACTTATACTGAAAACTTACTAACTCTTCATCCGAAATTCGAATTTAACTGGGTGTCCTTTATGTTTATTTGCTAAATGTGACAAGTCTCATGAGGAGTGAAATAAAGAACTAGGATAATAACTAATCATAATAGGCAGTGGGAACAACTCTATTCCCATTTGACAGATGAAGAAATTGCAGCTCAGACAGGGTAAGTGACTTGCCCAAGGCCATACTTGTAAGTGTCAGAGCCAGGATTTGAACCCAGATCCCAATTCCAGAAGTCTCTACTTCACCATTGTGGCCAGGAACACCCCCTTGCCCCACCCACCTGTATGCATGCCCCATCTTGAATATAACCCCTCCCCATCACGTGAGGTGGGCTGTCTCTTTCCTGACAAAGAAAGTCCCCGCCCACAGCAGGCATCTCCTTCTCTGCACCCCAGTGAGTCCTGGTCCCATGACCTGGGGTTGCTCTTATCAGATTCTCTGACATCCCCGTCTTAGGACCCAAGCCTGAACACATCCCTCAGGTCTGCTGCCAGGCCTGGGTGTCTCATGACATCCTGACCTCTCTCTCTATCCCCAGCTCCTAGGACCCTCTGCCCTCACTGCCATCGCAGTCTTCCTGAGCCTCCTCCCTCTGAATTTCATCATCAGCAAGAAGAGGAACCACCATCAGGTTGGCATTGGGAGAAGTGACAAGCCAGGAAGGAAGTAGATAGAGGCCCCTCAGGACCTGGGGAGATGGGGAGAGGGAGGAGTATGGAGAGGCCCACAGCCTGGCCTTGTCCTTGTCATGGTGTGAGTCTGCCCATCACTCAGACCTATGCCCCCATGTCACCCATCCTCCAGTGTCCAGGCCACAAACCCAGGGTCAGCTTTGATGCCTCTTTTTCACTCACTCCCCAGAATGCATCCAAAGTGTCACCCCTTCCACCACCCCTGCCCACAGCCTCTTCTCCACTCACCATCCAGAGGGGACCTGTGAAAATGAAATAAATCACACCCCTCCTCTGCTCAGACCCCAGCCACCCCTGTTTCCCTCAGAGCCAAAGCCGAAGACCCTGCAGCGCCCATGAGGCCGCCGTGACCTGGCTCACGCCCTCTGACCTCACCTCTCCCCATCTCCCTCCCCCATTGGCCTCCCACCTTTGCTCTTACTGTTCCCTCTGCCTGGACCACCCCCCACCCCAGGCGTCCCTGTGTCCCCTCCCTCACCTCCACCTCTCCTTCCCCAGCAGCTCCTTTGCCTGTGCTATTTTTTAATTTTTTCCATAGTACCTATCACATTCTTACTGGCCAGACAATAAATACCTGTCTTGTTCTCATTAGACTGGAAGCTTCCCAACAGCCAGGATTGTCCATTGTAGCAGACTCAGCATTTAGAATAGTATTTGGCACATAGAAGGTGCTCAGTAAATGCTTGTGAACTAAGGAGGGAGGGAGGGAGGGAATAAGAAACTTCTGCTTCTCTTTGTCCTGCTGTCCCAGTCAACCCATCTACCTGTCGCCTATGCTATTTCTCCAACCTCCTGTGTGGCCTCCTCTGAGACATTCTCCATGCAATCACCTCTCTGTGGTGAAACACGGGAGACCCCAAATGCCTCTGCCTGACCCACAAGCCCCATTGTGGTCCAGCCAACTCTCCTGGCTCCTCTGGCCACACTGGATTTCCCCTGATTCTTGCCATTCCCTTTGCTGGGTTCCCTCCATCTCAAGTGCCTCCCCTCCCTCTGCCCCAGCCCCACCTCCAGGCACCCACTCTCTGCATGTCCAGCACCCACCTCCTCTTCATTTAAGACATAGCTCAGGCACCACCACACCTCCAGGAAGCCTTCCCGGTGGCACCACACCTCTGTCCCCTGGGCATTGGGTGTTTCCTCCATATGACTCGTCCCAAGCTGGGGACAAGGAGGAGGCTCCTGCAGCAGACCAAGCACAAGATGGTCCTTGGGGCAGAGATGCTGAGAGACAGACAGGTTTGGGACCTGGCTTGGAGACAGGATCAACAGGATTTGCTGAAGGGTGGCTGTAGGGCTTGTGGGGGAAGAGAATTCTAGACTTGACCCTGTCCTCTTCCCTCTGGTCCCAGGAAGAGCAAATGAGGCAGAAGGACGCACGGGCGCGGCTCACCAGCTCCGTCCTCAGGAACATGAGGACCGTCAAGTCCCATGCCTGGGAGGGAGCCTTTCTGGAGAGAGTCCTGCGCATCCGGGGCCAGGAGCTGGGCGCCTTGAGGACCTCCAGCCTCCTCTTCTCTGTGTCTCTGGTGTCCTTCCAAGTGTCCACGTTTCTGGTGATGTCACTTTGGTCTCGATGCTGAGTATGGGTTGGGGGAGGGGGTACTGGGGTTGGAGGGGGAGAGGAAACAGGTGGATCCGCCAAATCTTACCACTCTGTTCACCACAATGTACCCAGCCTGGGTCGTGTTCTTTCAGGGTCCCTCTTTGCTGCTGCATTAGCTAATCAATCAAATCCTTCCTGTGAAGGTGGCACTGGCCAATAAGAGCTGTGGTTCTCCTTCTGAGAGTTCCAGGCATCTGGAACATCTGCTTCTGCTGGCATAGGGAGGAGGGAACAGGTGCAGGAAGCTGCAGGAATAAGAGCCCCAGGTGCACTGTGGCTTCCCTGACACCAGCCATCAGGTGACTGCAGCCACCCTCTCGCTGGACCTGGTGCCTTTCCTGTCATTCCCTGAATTATTTCACAAATTGCTGCCAGATTCACCTTCCTAATGCACAGCTTTGACTTCAGTCATGCCCTTGCAAACAATCCTGCAATGACTCACCACTGCTTATGGAATACAGTCTAAACATAAAACATTCAAGGTGGGTGATAAGTTGCCTTAAATGTGGATGTATCGTAGCCATGGGTGGGACTTGTGATTCTAGAGTATCTTGGAACATGACTCTGACGATGCAGGTATCAGCAGCACCTGAGGGCATCTGAGAGCTCTAGATGGTAAGTGGCACAACGGATTGGCACAACCATTTCCATAAGGATCTAGAGCCAGAGGGGTCATGTGCTATGACAACAGACATCACCAACACAATTAAGACTCAGAGCCACAGTACCATTGCTTAGAACTAGGAGGGTCCCCAAGTAAGATCACTGGGTCATCATCATACTGACTATCACACTGAGTGACCTTCATACCAAGTGACCATCACATAAGAGTGACCATCATACCAAGTCACCATCCTACCATGTGACGTTCACTCCTAGTGACCATCAAACTATCAAACCAAGTGACCAGCACACCAAGTGACATTTAAGTGACCATCATCACCAAGTGACACCTAGAACCAAGATGTCACCAATGCCAAGAACTGAACCATCCCTAGTGACATTGAGAACCACAAATGCCACCAATACCCAGAGCCTCAAGTGCTGCTGATATTTGCAGCTTCAGAGTCATCTTCCACGGGATCCTAGAATCACAAGTCCCACCCATGTCGAGAACCACAAAAATGCTACCAAGATTGAAAACTGCAGTGTTCCCCAATGCCCGGAACCAAGAGTTTCTTATCCTTAAAGCCCTGGGTCCACACATATATCCCTCTTCATCGATGCATTTGTGCTTTCCAGAAATGCCTAGGAAGAGGACTGGGGTTAGCAGAATGGGGGTGAGATCTATGGCAGGGGGACCCATGTCGACATTACAGCTTAGCCCTATGGATCCCTGGAGATGCCACAGCTTGCCAGGTTTCCCTACCCATGGTCAGCAGTTTCACTGTTGTCCCCGTGGGTCTCACCCAGGTGGCATTGGTTGTGTTCGCTGTCCATACCCTGGTGGCCAAGGAGAATGCCATGGATGCAGAGAAAGCCTTTGTGACCCTCACGGTTCTCAACATTCTCAACAAGGCCCAGGCTTTCCTACCCTTCTCCATCCACTCTGTCGTCCAGGTGAGGCCACCAGGGAGGGGCAATGCCGGCAGTGACTGGGCTCCGTCGGCAGAGGAGGAGAGGAAGGGAGACAGGGGAGAGAAAAGACAGGGACAGCGAGTACAGCAGGAAGATGTCAGAAATGGAGAAGCCTTTGTCCAGAGAGCAATGTGGACCCCAGCAAACAGCCTCAAAATATGCAGGCTTTTCAGTCCAGCCATTGCACATGCAAGAATTCATTCTGGTTCCCTTTTTTATATGAAACAATTTTATTTCCCTTCCTTTGCTATCTCTAGTCCTTTCACATGGTGCCTTATTGGGCATTGATGAAAATCAAAAGGGGTTGCAAAGCTGTATTTAAATAGCTGCTGCTTTAGCTACCAAGACTGGGTCTGTGGCTGGGAGTGAAGAGGTCGCCCCAAGGTGGACAAAGATTGAAATTACTCTGTCTCATGGCTTGATGCTTTCAGAAAAGCCACCATCTTCTTTCCAGGTCTTGTCTGCAGAATGGTAGCTTGATTGTTCCATTTTACTAATTTTTAGCGAGGAGTTGGGAGATCACCACTACCCTCATGGTCACCACCTCCATGTGCATGTTTCTGTGACCTCAAAAGCTTTCTCCTGACACCTTGCAAATGTGGAGGGCTTGGTAGTCACAAAGCTGTTGCCACACATTTCTAGGCTCTGACACCCAAAGCCTGAATTCTTTGCTCTTCTGGCTAGGTAACCTGGGGCTTTGGTTTCCCCAGGCCCGGGTGTCCTTAGACCGTCTAGCTGCCTTCCTCTGCCTGGAAGAAGTTGACTCTGGTGCTGTAGACTCAAGTCCCTCTGGATGCTGTGAGTGCTGAATTTAGCAAGAGGGTGGGGGGACTGGCAGGGCTGCCCCTGCCCAAAGATGGAAAGCCATTGTCCCCACTAAGGGGAGATGCTGGGGCTGCCGGCCATGGGATGGTACATGCAGTCATGCCATCTGCAAGTCACTTGGAAACTGGCACCATAGTGCTCTTCTTTCTGCCAGTGGTTCAGCCATTACTCATTGAGCACCGACTGGATGCTAATCTGGGTGTCTAGCAGTGAAGACTCTAACAGACCAGCTCCTTGCCCTCATGCAGAAAGTCCAGGGAGATAAGCTTGGCAACATTTTTGTCCAGCTAGAAAATAAAATCAGACAGTTACAAACACACTTGTACAATAAGACTCACCAAGCACTGGTTAGCTGGGCTTCCCCACACTGTCCCATCCATTTTCACCCTACGCCTGTGGGTCTAGTGATGCTAACTGAATTGCTGCAACAGGAAGGCAACCCATCACCAGGTCAAGATGCCCACCCTCCTTGTTGTAACTGAGGCATCTGGTCAACCTGCTTAGCTGGAAAACACCCGCATAATGGTTAAACGCCCAACCTGTGGCCCACATCCAAATCCTGGCCCCAGCTCTGATAGTTGCAAGTTATTAATCTCACTGAGCCTCTGTGTTTCCATCTACAAAATGGGCATGATGATCATCACAGCACCTACTGCACTGGGTTGTTGTGAGGGTCAAATGAGTTTAAGTACCACACTTAGAAAAGGGCCAGACACAAAGTCAGTATCAGTGCATTTTACTTATTATTACAATTATAGGGAAAAAACCAGAAGTCAGCAAAGAGGCCTTTCAGTAATTCAAAGTTGGTGTTACTGAGACGACTCAAAGCTCTAACACATTTTCAGCTGGGTGCAGCTTCCTTCTGCCGAGTTGATGTGATGCAGGGATCCAGGTCCAAGCCCTGGGTTCAGATCCCAGGTCGCTGCTCCCGGCTGTGTGGCCCTGGACAGTAACTCCTCCCCTCCAGACCTCAGATTCCGAACTGCCGGGTGGGGCTGGTGCCTCAGCTCTGGCAGGACTGCCATGTGGGCTGCACTAGGGACAGCAAGCACGTGGCCTTCGGAAGCTACTCAATGAATAGCTTAGGGTCTGTGATGACTGTGCCATTATCCCCACTGGAGGGCCACATGGGTCCTCAACCAGAGACCCCTAAGTGTTATTTTAGCCACAGTATTATTTTAATAGGCAGGATTTGGTCCCTGAGACATGGTTTGCCTACCCCTAAATGAAATAGCCATGGGACACAGAGAGAATGGGACCACTGCAGGGTCACACAAGCCAGTGAATAGCAGGGCTGCAGCCTGCTGCCTCTGGGGGCCATGCCTGGAGGTCTCTCAGACGGGGAGGCCAGCCAGCTGGGGGGTCTCCTGGAACTGGCCTTTTGTGCCCTGCAGCTGCCGGGAAGGATCGCATCGCAGTGCACAATGGCACCTTCGCCTGGTCCCAGAACAGCCCTCCCTGCCTCCACAGGTACAGCCCCGCTACCTTCATGTTTACAGGAGAAGATGCATGTGGCTCCTGCCCTTCCTCCCTGAAAGACGGTGCAGATGTCCATCCTGGGGCAGGAGGGTGGGTTAGGCTTGGCTCGAGTACTGCCGGGGAGGTTCTCAGGACTGGCCCTGGCATAGTCTTGGGAAAGCAAGAGCCCCTGCAGAGGGGGGTCAGGGCATCTGAGCCTCCACCATCGGGGTGAGACACCCCTCTGCTCCCAGGCTGGCCAAGGTGATGCCAAGGGAGGCCTGGCCAAGAGGAGCCTCAAGGCTCAGCCTGGTCAGCTGTGACCACTTCTATGCCTCCCATATCAGTCCCAGGTCACTGTCACTCCCAACTCTATGGCTGGGTTTTTCAGGCCCCAAATCCCTGCCAGCTCCAAGACTTCCTAAGAAAAAGAAAATACCTGGGCAGTGTTAGTGTTGTCATTCTCTCACCTTGTGGAATTTATTGAGCACTTACTGTGTGCCCAGGCCCTGTTCTAGGCACTGGGGACAGAGCAAAGAGAACAGACCAGGCTCTGCTCTTGGGGGGTGACATCCTGATGGTGGGTGAGGTGCAAATGAGAATACAGGGTAAGGGGTATAAGTAGTGAGGGATGGCTTGGCATCCAAGCTGAGATTACAATGAAGGGGAGTAGTGAGCCTTGATGGGGTCTGGCAGAAGAGCTTTCTAGATGGTGGGAGCGTCATGTGCAAAAGTCCTGAGACAGTGTGCCTAGACCCAGGTTTCTCAACCTGAGACTGTTGGTAGTTTGGACTGAATAATTCTTTGTTGTGGGGCTGTCCTGTGCACTGTAGGATGTTTAGAAGGACCCCCAGCCTCTACCCACTAGATGTCAGTGGCGTCCTCCACCAGTCGTGACAACCAAAAATATCTCTAGACCTTGCCAAGTGACATCTGCAGAACAAAATCACCCTCAGTTAAGAACCACTGGCCAGTTGAGTTCAAGAAACAGTAAGGAGGTCCATGTGGTGGAGGCCGAGCTGCAGGAGTGTCAGGACTTGGGCCTTGACCCTGGGTGAAATGGGAACACTGGAGGGTTTGGCTGGGAAGCATCATGATCTGACAGGTTTTAACTGGTCCCACTGGCCACTGGGTGGAGGATGGGCTGCAGGACACAACAGGACTGGACAGGTGCAGAAGAAGGGAGAGTAGTGAGGAGCCCATAGTGACAGCCCAGGTGAGAGACAATGCTGGTCACACCCTCGGACCAGTCAACTCTGTGTGTGCATGTGTACATGTGGGCAGACATGCCTGCCTGCGGGTGTGTACATGGTGTGCACATACATGTGTGCGGCATGCTTGTGTGCACACACATATATACACACGAGCATGTGTGCACATGTGTGTGTACACTCGCAGGTGCTTGAATGTGTGTGCACGTTGGGTGTGTGTTTCCATGGACACACTCCTGTGCGTGTGTGTGCATGTGTGCCTGTGTGTGCTCATGCGGTGTGTGTGTGGTGTCTTGCATGTGTGTGCATGTGCATGTGCACAGATGTGGGCAGGTGGCTGCTCGAGTAGCCAGACAAGGACTGGGCGAGGGAAGAACTACCCCTGCACGTCCTCCCAGAGTCACAAGCGGGAAAGTCTGGCTCTGTCTGGGGCTCACCCATCGTGCACAGATGTGGGCTAGGCCCTAACCAGGGACATGTCTCTCCTCTTGGGTTGCCAGGATAGAGCTCACGGTGCCCCAGGGCTGTCTGCTGGCCGTCGTGGGTCCAGTGGGGGCAGGGAAGTCCTCCTTGCTCTCCGCCCTCCTCGGGGAGCTGTCAAAGGTGGAGGGGTCCGTAAGCATCAAGGTGAGGCCACTAGGATGTCCCCATCCTGAAAGTGCCCCCTTCTCCACTGCCTCTCCACTCCTCCTTCTCAGAACCAAGTTCATTTCCATTCACTCCCTTCACCTTCCACCCACCACCAAGAGCCCTGCTACCACTACTCGTCAGTTGGCTCCTACCTCCATCTCCAAACGTGAGTTGTGTTTTAGGGTCCTGTGGCATATGTGCCCCAGGAGGCCTGGGTGCAGAACACCTCCGTGGTGGAGAACGTGTGCTTCAGGCAGGAGCTGGACCCACCATGGCTGGAGAGAGTCCTGGAAGCCTGTGCCCTGTGGCCAGACGTGGACAGCTTCCCTGCAGGAGTCCACACCCCAATTGGGGAGCAGGTGAGGGTCTTGGGGCCTTCTTGGGACAGGGAGGCATTGTAGCCAGGGGCATTTGCTTCCTTGATCTATGGACAGTATGATAGAGGGAAAGGGGGGCAGGGAAGTGGGGGAGAGGAAGGGTCAGGCTCAGGTCAAGCACATAGCAGGTATTTAATAAATAGTTATTAATCAATAAGTGATTGAAAATAGAGACAAAGGAGAGGCAGAGAGTCATGGCAGGGATTACAGAAGACCCAGACTACTGTCCTGCTCTGCCTGCCCTGCTGGGTGACATTGGTCAAATTGCTTCCCCTCTCTGGTCCTCACCAAAGCATCTAGACAGAGACATCCAACTGTACTGGTCCATTTTCTGTTGCTCATAACAATTCTGAAACTGGGTAATTTATAAAGAAATTAGAATTTATCTCTTACAGTCTTGGAGGCTGGGAGATCCAAGGTCCAGGGGCACATCTGGTGAGGGCCTTCTTCTTGGTGGGACCCTACAGAATCAACCTCCCACATGAGCGTCAGAGAGGACAGTTAACCCACATCACCAGTAAACAGGATACACACATCTGGAGCTACGGACTGGGCAGGGGTTAGAAACTATGACTAAGCATAGTGAATAAAGTGTTATGGAGACATAACGGCAAGGTCTAGAGATACTCTTGGTTGTCACGACTGGTGGAGGACGCCACTGGCATCTAGTAGGTAGAGGCTGAGGGTCCTTTTAAACATCCTACAGTGCACAGGACAGCCCCACAACAAAGAATTATTCAGTCCAAACTACCAACAGTCTCAGGTTGAGAAACCCGGGTCTAGGCACACTCCTGTCTCAGGACTTTTGCACATGACGCTCCCACCATCTAGAAAGTTCTTCTCCCAGACCCCATCAAGGCTCACTCTTCCCCTTGTATAATACTTTAATACTATCTCCTCTTGTGAATAAAGTATTATTGAGACACAGCCACTTCTGTGCAATTACCTAATATCCATGGATGCTTTTGCGCTCTAAGGTCAGAGCTGAGCAGCTGTGACCAAGACCATATGGCCCACAAAGCTTAAAACAGTTACTCTCTGGCCATTTCTCCTTCGCAGAAGGAGTTTGCTGACCTCTGGGTTAGGGCATTATCAGTGGAAAAGTGAGACTTCACATTATGGGGATCCCATGGTAGCTTTTCAGACCTTCCTTCCTTCCTCCCTTCCCTGAGTTTTCTGGGGAGAAGGGGAAAGGCCCAGGAGAGCATTCTAAGGAGCCCCCTTATGGGCTGAGGAGAAGATTAAGCCAGAGAGAGCAGCTGAAAAGGAACATCCAGGAAGCAGGACGAGGCATTGTGGAGGCCAAGGGATGAATTTCAAGAAGGGAAGGGTGGCTGCTGCCCTCTGCATCTGTCCAGCCTCTGTCATGTGCTAAACCAAACATCTGATGTCCCACAACCTACTTTTCCCACAGCCCATCCCAACTCCGGCGATGAAAGCTCATCCTCCAAAGGCTCAGAAACAAACTCTTGGCATCCCCCTTGGTTCCTTTCTCTTACATCCACATCTACTCCATCAGCAAATCCTGTTGGGTCCACCTTCAAAGCAGACCTGGAATGTTCTGGTCCCATCCGCTGTCACCTCTCTTCTCCATTGCTGTGGTAGCCTCCTGGCTGCCTCCTGGTTTCTGTCCTCACTCGCTGTAGTCTAATCCCAACACAGCAGCCAGAGGGATTCTGTTCAAACGTAGGTCAGATCACATCCTTCCTCTGCTCAGAACCCTCCAGGGTCTCCCCATTTCCCTCAGAGTTATAGCCACAGTCCTGACAATCCCTGACAAGGTCCCCCATGATCCAGGTCCCTTTATCCCTCTGCCCCACCTCCTGTCATGCCACCCTTTCCTGCTTCTCTCCAGCCACGTGGAGCTCTGCAGTGTTCCATGTGCACCCAAAGCACACTCCCACCTCAGAGCCTTTGCACTTGCTGTTCCTGCTGCTGGACAGCTCTCCCCAGGGAGTCCACATGGCTCCTCCTCACCTGTGTCACCTTCCCTGACCACCTAACCCAACTCATGCTACTGCACCTATGTCCTCACCTGCTTTATTCACCTTCATGGAAGGCAGGAGGGAAGGAAGGATTGAAAAGCTACCACTGGATTGGGCAAAGGGAAACGGCTGGTGTCCTCGATGAAGGCAGTATCAATGGAGACATGGGAGCAGAAGCCAGACAAATGGACAGAGAAGTGATCAGGAGGAGAGAAGGTAGATATGGAGAATGTAAAAGACGCTACAAGATTGCTTGCCTGGGTAAAGACTCTCAGAGCAAGTGTTTAAAGCTGGGAGTGGCCCTGGGGGTAAGGCACAGTGAGCTGCACCTCACCCTGATGAGCAGATGTGCCCTTGATCGACACTGGCCCAGCTGCCCCAGCCTCACCCAGCAGGTGTAGACTCAGGTCCTATCCCTCTCGTGGCCACAGGGCATGAATCTATCTGGTGGCCAGAAGCAGCGGCTGAGCCTGGCCCGGGCTGTGTACAGGAAGGCTGCTGTGTACCTGCTGGATGACCCTCTGGCGGCCCTGGATGCCCGTGTCGGCCAGCATGTCTTCAGCCAGGTCATCGGGCCTGGCGGGCTGCTCCAGGGAACAGTAAGTTTGGGAACATGGGTCAGAAGGCACGTAAGAGCAGAAGAAGCCCTTATAGTCCAGTTCTAATCACTTCTATCACACCACCCTGTCCTTGAGCCCAGTTTTCCTCTGTGTATCGGTCAGCTTTTGCTGTGACAATGCTAAGTAACAAACACCCCCAAATCTCAGGCTTATGCAGCAGTTATCTCTTGTTCATGGAGCTGTGGTTAAGCTACTAGCTCTCTGCCTCAAGTTATTGGCCAAGTTCAGGTGAACTCCATGTCTTCTTGTTTCAAAACACAGGTTGGAGTCCCCTCTGTGTCTCGATGTAGACAAGCTGTTTTCAAAAAAAGAGGGCAGGAACAAGAAGGGGAGCTCTCCCCACTCTGAGCCCAGGGACACTGCCCCCCACCCCCAGCTCTGGGAGACTGGCCATGCTCATGAATGTAACTCGCACCCCTTCCCTGCCCAGACACGGATTCTCGTGACCCACGCACTCCATGTCCTGCCCCAGGCTGATCAGATCGTGGTGCTAGCAGATGGGGCCATTGCAGAGATGGGTTCCTACGAGGAGCTTCTGCACAGGAAGGGGGCCCTGGTGGGCCTTCTGGATCAAGCCAGCCAGCCAGAAAATGGAGGAGAAGGAGGTACTGGCTGGGCTTTGCTAATTCTCTGTGCCTGGCTCCTGCCACCCTCGGGGGAAAGGCTCCCAACATCCCCCTGGCATGAGTGGAGCACTTTGGTCATGTTCTCCCTGCAGGCCCAGGTCTGGAAGCAGATAGTTCTCCCAAGAGGCCACGTCTCCCTTCAGTAAGAGCCAGTGACACTGCCTACGAGCCAGGAGCTAACTGCTTCTATAAATATACATTATCTCATGTCGTGCCCTGACACAGCAGGTGCAGTTATTGCTGCCATTTTACGGATGAGCAAACCGGGTCATAGAGAGTTAAGTCATTTGCCCAAGGTCACAGATTAGAACTTGGGTGTGTTCAACTCCAGAGTCTACACTCATGGCTGCTACAGAGACTGAGCAAGAAGGTCTTTGGTACCTAGAAGGCTAAGACATGCTAGCTAGGGCTTCTAATAATCCAGAGAACACAAAGCCCGCTGGATAGATGATGAGATTCTGGAAGGAAAGCCACCAATCCAAGCTCATCCACAGCGAGCAAAAAATAACAGCTAATGGCACATCCCGTACATTCGCTAACGTAAGCAGCCCAATACCCCTTTGAGGTTGTTATGTTACTCTAATAGCCATTTCACAGACAAGAAAACTGAGGCACAGAAGTTAAGGAACCCGTTCAAGGTTATGTGGCAGTGCTAAGATTTGAACCCAAAGAACTTGACTCAAGAGAATGTTTTTTAATCACAAGGTTACATGCTTCCCCTCCATGCCAAAGCAAGGACTCACATCCAGGTCTCCCCCAATCTCAAGGTCTACCTCTTCTGAAAACATCTGCTCAGCACCAGCCCACCCTGGTAAACACCCTTAGTGTCAATTTACAATGTCACCTTTCTGGAGCTTGAAGATAGATCCTGCCCATGTGTCTCAGTCAGCTTTTGCTGTGGCAATGCTACATAACAAACAACCCCCAAGTCTCAGTGGCTTACAGCAGCAGTTATATCTTGCTTAAGGGCCTGTGGTTAAGTTGCTAGAGCTCTGCCTTGGGTTATTGGCCAGCGTCGGGGGTTGTGGGGGGAAGGTGTCCTTCCTGGAGGAGATGGCACCTGAAGTTGGGTAGGAGTTAGCTGGAAAAGAGCATTTCAGGTGCAAGGAACTGCTTGAGCAAGGGTATCAGGGGAACTGGAGGCAACCTGACTTTGTACAATGTCCACTACTGTTTTTCCAACCCCAACTTCATAGCAGGTGCTCAGTTATATTTGCTGAATGAATAAATGAATGGATGAGGGGGTGAATGAATAATATTCCTGGAAGAACCCAGGAAGGATTGAAAGAGGTTGCTAGAAAGGTGGCAGGAACCAGATCAGGGGAAACGGATGCTCATGGAGGTTAAGACCACAGTCAGTGGGTGTCAGAGCCAGTGTGTGGATGTGTGACAGGACTTCCTTGACCTTGCAGAAACAGAACCTGCAACCAGCATTGAGGACCCTGGAGGCTCCTCTGCAGGGGGAAGGCCCAAGCCCAGACCAGAGAGGTGAGTTCACAGTGGTGCTGGACATGGGTAGGGCCCAGGCTAGGGCTGAAGTAGGGCCTGCTGTGTGACCACCTATATCTCAGGCAGGTGGGGCAGCCAGAACCACTATGACAAGAGCACCTGCTGAACATCCTCATGTGCTCAGCTATGGATAATACACCAAAATGATTTGACAGTCAGTTGGCCAAAGTGACAAAGTCCCCAGATGGTCATTTCATGGAGCAAACAATTTTCCCCCCATGTGCTGAATGCTTTAAAGTGGGCATGTCAGAGTTTTCTTAGAGGAAGGTGCTTCTGAGTTTTCTCATTGCCAGAGTAGAGCGGGGCTGGTTCCAAAGAAAGAGCCTTGCCATAGTTGTTAATGACATGCCAGGCCCTGTTGTTCATGCTTTGACAGGCAGTCTATGCAAAGGGCTCAAGTCTACACTCCTGGCATCACTTGGTGCTGGCCCAGAACACACAGGCAGGGAGTCACCAGGAGGAGACCTGCTGTCCACTTTTCTTCCAGCCCCCTACAGCCAGAGCACAACTGGACTCACTGTGGGGTTGTCTGCAGCAGAGGGACTTGGCCACATGGTGTTCTCCTTCTTACGGAGGGTGGCCTCATGAAACAGACAACAGCCACTGGGTGCCAGGTGGTTTGAGCTTAAGTACCACCTGTGCACGGGACATTGAGTGGACTTGGTCCCTGGGGATAATTGAAGCTGGGCACAGCTCTTTTCTCCCCATCCCATCTAGCCACCCTGAGAGCACTCCTGAGTCACACTCTGAGCAATCCCACTTGTCCTCACAGTGCACAAGAATCCCAAGTAAGATCAGATAGATGGGTAGGTAGGTAGGTAGATATGGATATTTAGATACGTGAGTGGATGGATGGATGGGTGGATGGATAGATAGAGAGATGATAGATGATAAATTGATAGATGATACATAATAGATAATGGATGATAGATATTATCCTCTTTTTTATAGCTGGGGAAACTGAGGCACAGAGAACTTAAGTCAACCTACTCTATCTGTGCTACATAAGGAACAATTCCCAAGTCTCAGTGGCTTACAACAGCAGTTATTCCTTGCTTATGATCTGTGGTTAAGCTACTACAGCTCTGCCTCAGGCTACTGGCAGCCTGGGGGATGGCAGAGGGAAGATGTCCTTCCTGGGGGAGATGGCACCAGAAGTTGGGTGGGAGTTAGCCAGAAAAGAGCATTTCAGGCACAAGGAACTACTTGAGCAAGGCGTCAGGGAATCTGAAGCCATCAAGAAACCATCAGCATCTGAACTGTGCAAAGTTGACATTCTGCCAAGCTGAACTGACAAATTTAAGGGTAAACAGTAAGGGCAAAAAAATTGCATCAAAGCTTAGGCCAAAATAAAAACTCTGAAAACAGAATTCCAAAGTTGGGCAGATAAGTTCATTCAGTGAAATGGCATTGGAAGAACAGGCTTGCTTGACCCGGGCATAGTAGATGGCATTTAACCAGGACCACACAAGGAGGAGGGAAGCAGGATACCCAGTCAGCGTGTGAATTGAATGAATGAATGAATGAATGAATGAAGTGGAAAGTGTACCCCAGAGCTCAGTGGCTGCCAGTGGGAGAAACACTGATTTGTCCTCATTTCCCCTAAATGACAGGTCCCTCAAGTCAATCCCTGAGAAGGACGGCATCACGTCAGAAGCCCAGACAGGGGTTCCTCTAGATGATCCTGAGGGAGCAGGACAGCCAACAGGAGAGGACCGTGTGCAGTATGGCAGGGTAACCACCAGCAGCCCCCGCCCCTCCCCACACACTGCCGCTGCTGCCCCTGAGGGCCCAAGTCTCCCACCAGATACAGCCCTGGGGCAGGGAGATACTCATCTTTATTGAGCATCTACTGTGTGCCAAGTAAGATTCTAGACCTCACAATCACCCTATAAAATAGATGGTGATACCTCCATTTTAGAGATGAAGAAACTGAGTTCTTAAAGAGCTAAGACTTGTCTGTGTTCTCATAGCTAGCAAGTGACCAGGCTGGAACTCAAATCTAGGTCAGTCCAAATCTGAAGCTCGTACTATTTCTCCTCTTCTATACTGCTTTGTCCATCCATCCATCCACCCATCCATCCCATCATCCACCGATATGCCCATCCACCCACCCACTCACCCACACCACCCACCATTCATCCACCCGTTCATCTACCCACCCACCTATCCATCCATCACACCCAACAATTCACCCATTTACACCACCATCCATCCACCCACCCAGCCAGCTAGCAAACATGAACAGAGCACCCACTATGTGCCAGATAAAGTCTCTGTCCTGGTGGAGATTGCATGCTAGTGACAATAGGCAGGCTACAATTAGGCTAATAAGCTAGATATCAGATCATGATAAGTAAGTGCTATGAAGAAAATAGAGACGATGAAATGGAGACCAGCTGAAGGTCAGGGTCTGCTTGGATAGGATGTTCTGAGGAGTGACATTTGAGCTGCCCTGAAGGATGCAAAGGAACCATGGAAAGAGCAGGGGAAAGACCATTCCAGGCAGAGGGAATAGCAGGTGCAAAGGCTTTGAGATGGGAAAAGGAAAAAAAAAAAAAAAAAAAAAATTCACTCTGGCTGCAGCTGTGTGGAGAACTTCAGATTTGTAGGAGCAGGCCTTTAAGCAAGTGGCTTAACGTCTCTGTGCCTCAGTTTCTTTATTTGATGAATGGAGGTTATTGTGATTATAGAGACACATGCCTGTCCCATAGAAGGTGTTCAAGAAAACACACTGAAACCGGAAAGCACTTCAGTCTGTCCCCGGACCACTGGAGGGGGTATAGAGGACGGGGGTCCTGAGGCTAGGTGGAGCCTGCAGAGGAGACAGTGCTCCTGGTGGGAGGCACTGAGAGAGGACCTGCGAGGTCTGCCCCATTGGCACGTTTTGGGGAGCTTCACGTGGCCTTGCCCCAACTTCCCCCTCACCTGGGGCGCCCTCCCCCCACATGTGCTGCAGGTGAAGAATGCCATGTACATGACCTACCTACGGGCCGTGGGCACCTCGCTCTGCTTCTACGTGCTCTTCCTCTTCTTCTGCCAGCAAGTAGCCTCCTTCTGCCGCGGCTACTGGCTGAGCCTGTGGGCAGACGACCCGGTGGTGGATGGACGGCAGACGCAGGCAGCCCTGCGCGGCTCAATCTTCGGGCTCCTCGGTTGTCTCCAAGGTACCCCTCACCCACCTTCCTCATCCCCCATCCTCCCAGCTGCACCAAGGGGTGCCCACCCATCATGGACTCACCCTGTCCCCCCTGAACATTTCTGCAAAATGTCCTGGGTCCACGCATAGACCTGTCCTTAAGATGAGACTGGAGGGAGTGGGGGGACAGGACACATCTCTTCTTTTCTGGCACCCTCAGAATCTCTCCCAGCCCCTCCCCACAAGCAGAAGGCAGCTCCAAGGTGCCCCCACCCAAGCCTCCAGACGGAGCCAGACCTCTCCGTAACAGGCACATCACGGCCACTTCCTGTATTTTTCTTTTTTTTTTAATTGAATTATTTATTGGAATAATTGTAGATTCACATGCATTGCAACAGATAATGCAGAGAACTCATTGTAGACTCTGCCCAGTTTCGCCCAATGGTAACAATATTGCAAAATGATAGTACAGTTTCACAAGGACGTTTTTATTATTATTATTGGTTATGGATATTCATGGGGTACAAAGCTGGCTGTCACCACTTGTGCCCAAGGTGTGATGGCCAGATCAATACTATCGGCATGTTCATTACCACAAATTGTGATTATTCTCTGTGTCCCACACCCAATTAATCCCCGGCCTTCATCTCCCTCCCCCTCTTCCCACCCCACTCGTCTGTCCCCTCCCTCTGCAAGTCCAGCGCACCACTGTGGTCTTCCTTTCCTCCCTTCTTTCTCTCTTAGCTCCCACTTCTGAGTGAGGACATGTGATATTTTTCTTTCTGTGCCTGGCTTATTTCACTCAGCATAATATTCTCCATGCTCATCCATGTGGCTGTGAATGGCATCTCAAGATCATTAACTAGTTACATCTGCAAAGACCATTTCCAAATAGGGTCATATTCTGAGGTTCTTGATGGACAAGAATTTTGGGAGACACTATTCAACCCCCAAGAGGGTGGGTCCATCAAGGGATAATCAATCAGGGTGGCCACCAAGGTGGTTGGGGAGATCTGCCCAAGGCTCCCCAGGGAGACTCCAGCCCTCATGCTATGATGCTTTCTCCCTCCCTAGCCATTGGGCTGTTTGCCTCCATGGCCACGGTGCTCCTAGGTGGTGTCCAAGCATCCAGCCTGCTCTTCCAGAAGCTTCTGTGGGACGTGGTACGGTCTCCCATCAGCTTCTTTGAGCAGACGCCCATCGGGAACCTTCTGAATCGCCTCTCCAAGGAGACAGACACGGTGGATGTGGACATCCCAGACAAATTCCGGTCCTTGCTGATTTATGCTTTTGGACTCCTAGAGGTCATCCTGGTAGTGACAATGGCCACCCCTCTGGCTATTGTGGCCATCCTGCCACTGCTGCTCCTCTACATTGGGTTTCAGGTAGGGAGAGGCTGGGAGGCTCCTGGGGCCATTCAAAGTCACCCCAGCCAGGCCTCTGTCTCTAGGCAGAACTCAGAATAAGAGGTTCTGCCCAGCTGAGCATCTGGGGGCTGCCCCTAGAAGAATCCCCAAGGGTGGAGACACCACAGTCTGTTTCTAGTATCTACACTAGTCTCCATCTTCCAAATGTTCTTTATAACTAGCATCTTGTCCTGCTGTGGCTGCCTCTTCTACAATGATCTGGAAACCAGGAAAGCATTGCCATGTCTCAAAGACTATTGTTTTAAGCCAGATTCTTTCACTTGCCAGGGCCAGAGACCAACTTAAATGAGCTTAAACAAAAGAATGAAATTGAACGGCTTGTAAAACTAATGGTCAAGGGTTTGGATTCCCATATAGGCCAGTCACCAAAAAAAAGAAAAAAAAGGATGGCTTGCATTCCCCAGAGAGACTGATTAGTTATGGTTCTTTTGAATACAAAGAACAGAAAATTCAGCTCCAATTCAAACTGGTTTAAGCAACAGGAGAGTTTATTGACTCATGGGACTGGTATCTGTAGATAACTAGCTTCAGGTATGGCTGGATCCAGGGGTCCAAACAAGGCTGTCAGAAGTTACTTCATTTCCTTCCTCTGTGGCAGCTTCTTGTCCAGGCAGGCTACCCTGCTGGTGGCAAGGTGATATTCCACAGTTCCAGCTTGGCCACCTCAAAAAAGCAAGTACCTCTTTCCCAAAAGTTCTAGCAAAAACCCAGGTCTCACTCTCATTGGCCTGACTTGGGTCATACGTTTATCCCTGAACAAATCGCAGTGGTTCAGATTGGCCAGGGATGAAATTTGCCCCACACCAGAGTCAAAAGATAAATGAAATTAGCCCCTTCTCAAGCACGTAGATTAGCACTGGGAGGAAGGGTGTATGGGGGTACTTTAAAAAATTCATGGAAAAATAGAACTAATGATAATATGAAACTTTCCATGGACTTTTTGAAGTACCCTCATGTATTAGTTTCCTAGTACAACAAATTGCCACAAACTTGGTAGCCTAGAACAACAGAAATTTATTCTCTCACAGTTCTGTGGCAAGAAGTCTGAAATCAAGGTGTTAGCAGGCTTGGTTCCTTGTGGAGCCTCTAGGGAAGAAACCACCCCATGGCTCCCTCCTAGCTCCCAGTGGCTGCCGGCAACCCTTGGCATTCCTTGGCTTGTGGACACATCACTCCAATCTCTGCCTCTGTCTTCACATCTTCTCTTCTGTATCTCTGTGTCCTCCCTTCTTCTTATAAGAATACCAGCCATTGCATTTAGGTCCCATCCTAAATCTAGGAAGATTTCATCTCAAGATCATTAACTAGTTACATCTGCAAAGACCATTTCCAAATAGGGTCATATTCTGAGGTTCTTGATGGACAAGAATTTTGGGAGACACTATTCAACCCCCAAGAGGGTGGGTCCATCAAGGGATAATCAATCAGGGTGGCCACCAAGGTGGTTGGGGAGATCTGCCCAAGGCTCCCCAGGGAGACTCCAGCCCTCATGCTATGATGCTTTCTCCCTCCCTAGCCATTGGGCTGTTTGCCTCCATGGCCACGGTGCTCCTAGGTGGTGTCCAAGCATCCAGCCTGCTCTTCCAGAAGCTTCTGTGGGACGTGGTACGGTCTCCCATCAGCTTCTTTGAGCAGACGCCCATCGGGAACCTTCTGAATCGCCTCTCCAAGGAGACAGACACGCAGCCTGCTCTTCCAGAAGCTTCTGTGGGACGTGGTACGGTCTCCCATCAGCTTCTTTGAGCGGACGCCCATCGGGAACCTTCTGAATCGCCTCTCCAAGGAGACAGACACGGTGGATGTGGACATCCCAGACAAATTCCGGTCCTTGCTGATTTATGCTTTTGGACTCCTAGAGGTCATCCTGGTAGTGACAATGGCCACCCCTCTGGCTATTGTGGCCATCCTGCCACTGCTGCTCCTCTACATTGGGTTTCAGGTAGGGAGAGGCTGGGAGGCTCCTGGGGCCATTCAAAGTCACCCCAGCCAGGCCTCTGTCTCTAGGCAGAACTCAGAATAAGAGGTTCTGCCCAGCTGAGCATCTGGGGGCTGCCCCTAGAAGAATCCCCAAGGGTGGAGACACCACAGTCTGTTTCTAGTATCTACACTAGTCTCCATCTTCCAAATGTTCTTTATAACTAGCATCTTGTCCTGCTGTGGCTGCCTCTTCTACAATGATCTGGAAACCAGGAAAGCATTGCCATGTCTCAAAGACTATTGTTTTAAGCCAGATTCTTTCACTTGCCAGGGCCAGAGACCAACTTAAATGAGCTTAAACAAAAGAATGAAATTGAACGGCTTGTAAAACTAATGGTCAAGGGTTTGGATTCCCATATAGGCCAGTCACCAAAAAAAAGAAAAAAAAGGATGGCTTGCATTCCTAGATGCAGTGGGCCCAGTTGTCACCAAGACACTGTTACTCTCTCCATATCTTCACTCAGTGGTTCTCAAAGTGTGGTCCCAGGACCAGCAGCAGTATCACCCAGGAGCTGTAGATGCAAATTCTTGGACCCCAGCCCAGACCTACTGACTCAGACACTATGGAGGTGGGGCCCAGCAATCTGGGCTTTAACAAACCCTCTAAGTAATTCTGATGAGTGCTAATGTTTGAGAATCACTGATTCAGCTCTGCTTAGCCTAAATTTGCACATGCTTTCTTAATGGGGGGCAGGTCTGATGGCCACCAGCAACTCTATACTCACATCGTTCCTCCTTAGCAAACCCAATACAAAGAAGACTTTTCTCTGGCTCAGTATTATATCAATCCCAGGGAAGGTTCTGATTGGCCCTTTATGAGTCATGTGCCTATTCCTGAATTAATCACAGTGACCAAATGGACAGAGTACTCTGATGGACTAGACTAGGTCATGGTTGCACATGCTTTCTTAATGGGGGGCAGGTCTGATGGCCACCAGCAACTCTATACTCACATCATTCCTCCTTAGCAAACCCAATACAAAGAAGACTTTTCTCTGGCTCAGTATTATATCAATCCCAGGGAAGGTTCTGACTGGCCCTTTATGAGTCATGTGCCTATTCCTGAATTAATCACAGTGACCAAATGGACAGAGTACTCTGATGGACTAGACTAGGTCATGGGACCACCTCTATGATCAGGTCCCATGATTAACAATACCCCCCACCCAGACCTTTCCCCAGGAAATCAGAAGTAGAGTGAAAAGAAAACGTGGTAGTCAGACAAAAGCCATGGCCACCACTGTCCTCCACAGCTATCCCAGTCTTCTCTAAGTCCTCCTGACTCTGGGGATGGGCTGCTTCTGTGAGCTCTGCAGTCAGCAGAGATAGGTTTGAACCCAGGCCCTGCCACTGGCTGTAGAGCTCAGACCAGCTACTTAGAGCTCAGACCAAGCCTCAGGTGTTCTCACCCGTAAACTATGAATGACACTAATGCCCATCCTAACATGAGTGAAACGCTTTTTGGAAAGAGCCTCGTGCACAGCTTGGGTATTCAGCAAATGCAGGTTCCTCCCTGCCTGCTTTCCTGCACACGACTTGCAACCTAAAGCCAAATAACACATATTATTTGTGTGTCACCTGCCACCTGGTGTAACCCTTGGATTACATGAGTGAACCTGATTTGGCCAACTACCTCCGTTACCCATTACAATTTTGTTCCCCATGACTAGTCCTAAGTGAAATAGTTGGCCTTGGTGCTGGGCAATGAGACATTTACACTAGGTTGGTGGTTTTTCAGCCCTAGCTATACATTAGAATCACCTGAAAGGCCTTTTAAAAATACCAAAGCCAAGATGACATCACCAGAGATTCTGATTCAGTAGTTCTGGAGTAGGGCAATGTAAGTTTTTGAAGCTCTTCAGATGATTTTCAAAAGAACCATGGAACTCTGATTCTGCAAGGAAATTGGAGTGCAGAGAGAGCAAGCAACTGGCCCAAGGTCACACAGTAAGCCAATAACAGAACCTGGTCTAGAACCCTGTACTTGGGGCTCCCTGTCCTTCTGGAAACCATCTCTCTGTGTCTGAGGCTTCTCTTCCCTCCCTTCTCCCACCCATACTGCCTCAGAGCCTATATGTGGCCAGCTCATGCCAGTTGAGACGCCTGGAGTCAGCCAGATTCTCATCCATCTGCTCCCACATGGCTGAGACATTCCAGGGCAGCACAGTGGTCAGGGCGTTCCAAGCCCAGGGACACTTTGTGGCTCAGAACGACATTCACGTGGATGAAAGCCAGAGGGTCAGTTTCCCGCGACTGGTGGCCGACAGGTAGGAAGAGCCTGGGGTCAGTGCGGGTGAGGCCTGAGGTCATAATGTGTGGCTAGAGAGGTCAAGTGATCTGCCCAAGGTCACACGGCAAGTGGGGGGACAAAGCTGAGGCTAGATCCAACAGGCAGTCTCTCGGCTCGCACTGTGAGCAGGTGGAACTTGGCCTGAGAGATCCCCAAGGGCAGATGAGTGGAGCTCAAGAAGCAGCTTCTGTTGCCAGGCAACTGGACCAGCCTCTATTGCCTTGGGGACAGAGCAGCTATGTAAGCATTCTTAGCCTCCTTCCAGTACTAAACAAGAACACAAGCTTCGGGCACAGATAGACACAGGTTCAAATTCTAGCTCTACCACTTACCAGGCTGACTGATGTAGAGCAAGTTACTTAACCTCTCTGAGCCTCATTTGTCAAACCGGGATCATACTTATAAAGTGACTATGAAGATTTAAAAAATACATTCATAGGTAATACTTGTAACATGCTTACTACATGCCCGGCACTGTTCTGAGCAATCTATGTGGATTAATTTATTTAATCCTATTAACAACCCCATGAGGCAGAGACTGTTTTGTAGATGATGAACCGTAGGGACAGAGAGGTTTGGAAGCTTGCCCAAGGTTACACAGCTAATACCTAGATAATGGAGCCAGGATTCGAATCCAGGCAGTCTAGTATCAGAGTATGGAGTCAAGCACACAGTAGGTACTCAATAAATGTGAATTCCTTTCTCCTTTCTTCCCAGGTCCCCAGCCAGATGGGGCTGTCAGGCTCTGTAACTGTGGACAGTATCTCAATTCCACATGTTCACTGGGAGACCTGACCTGCCCCTTCCTTGTATCCTGGCCTAGGAAGGAGGGACCTTACAGACATTTAGAAAGCACCTACTGTGTGCAAAGCTTTATTATTTTCGTGCTGTACATGGTATATCTTGTTTAATTCTCTCAACTGTAATCGGCCATGTATTACTTCGTTATACAGATGGGTAAACTGGGGTTAAAAGTGAAGGGAATCTCCCAAGGTTAGCCAGCTACGAAGTGACAGACCCTAGGTGGGTTGTTGATCATTTATTCATTCATTAGTTTGTTCACTGAAACACAGCTTTTGGAAAGGGTGTGTGCTTTCTTGCATCAGTCAGGGAAATATGGCTTCGAATCCTGACGTTTGTTACATGTGTGACTTAGGCAAGTGCCTAACAGTCTTAGCCTCAGTTTTCTCATCTGTCAAATGGGAAAAACAATTCCCTCCACCCACCATGTTAGGAGGACTAGATGTTATATTTTAAAGCTCAGAGCTCCCTGAGGACAATGATTTTTATCTGTTTGGTTCACAGCTATGTCCCTAGCACCTCAAACATGCTTGTCACACAGTAGGTGTTCAGTGCATATCTATTGAATGAATGGATGGTAGAGTAGGAATTCAACAAGAGGAGTGCTTGTTTATTCAACCATTCAAGATGTATTTGTTGAGCACCTACTATATGCTGAATCCTGTGCTAAGTACTAGGGGGGAGCCAAGAAGGAGAGTCAAGGTCACTGTCCCTGTGGAGCTCACGATCTGATGGAGACCCATAGTCAACAACTGACTCAACTGTTTAGTTATAGATTGATGACCATTGTGAAGGACATCATCTGTGACGTTAGCAAGAAAAAGGAGGTGCAATCAAGGAGGGCTCTGAGAGGAGGTGATGTTCGAGCCAACTTGTACATGGACATGTTGCCAACATGAAGATGGAGGTCAGGGTTCAGGCTGGGGCAACTGTGAGAGGACATGGCTTGCTATATCCCAGGGACAGAAAAGCAGCAGCACAGTAAAGCTCTATCAAGCATTGGGTGTGCCAGGACCTGAGCTGGGCTCATGTGACACGGAACAACGTCACCTTCTCCCAGCCACCGAGTTTGGGTGGGGTCTTGGATGTAGACAAGACTACTGCTGGGACCCCCATGGGTACAGAGCTAGCACGTGACCTGTTATTGTACCCAGAGAAGCAGGTCCCAGAAAACAAGGGCACCCACCAACCCACTGTTACCTGCCTCCCTTCGCAGGTGGCTCGCTGCCAACCTGGAGCTCCTGGGGAATGGCCTGGTGTTGACAGCTGCCACATGTGCAGTGCTGAGCAAGGCCCACCTCAGCGCCGGCCTCGTGGGCTTCTCTGTCTCCGCCGCCCTTCAGGTACTCCCAGCACCCCCAACCTGGGCTCAGGGGTGTAGGCAAAACTGGAGACAGACCCCTGCCAGCAGGACCTTCAAGGACACCCAAGTCCAAACTACCAACCAGTGAGGAAAACACAGCTCTACAAGAGCTGACTTAGCTGAGGGAATCTTGCCAGGACTTGGGCAAGAATCCTCCTTCTCGGAGTCTCGGTGTGCTCATCTGAAAAACGGGCGAACAATCCCATCACTTCTGATGTTATAGAGACTAGTTGAGACAAAGTATATACAGCACACTTCTGGTGCATGGTTAACTTTGTATTCACTATGGAGAACAGCATGTCATGTCAGGGCATGACATCTACATATGTATATATACGTGTAAGTAGCATCATTATGAATGAGGCATCGTTCTCGGAGCTGTATAAATATTAACTCATTTCATCCTGCTCATGGCCATCAGGGAGGTACTATTACTGTCCTTGTTTTACAGCTGAGACAACCACAGCAACTAAGCTTAAGGATAAAGTAAGAGGACGGGGCGGGACAGGGCGTGGTATTTTTCTACTGTGCAGCCTGGGAAGGTCTCTCTGAGGAGGTGACCTATGAGCTGTGGCCTGAAGGAAGTGAGGGAGGGGACCAGGGAGAGGGCACTCCAGGCAGAAGGAACAGCAGGAAGAAGGGCCCTGGGGGTGTTAGAGGAGGAGCAAGAAGGTGGGTGTGGCTGGCGAGGGTGGGTGAGGGTGGGAGTGGAGGGAACAAGGTGGGGAGAGGACAGGGCTGGGGCTCACAGGCCCTGGTGAGGAGCTTGGAGCAGTTCCAAATACAATGGGAAATCAGTGGTTGTCTAGCCCCTACGGGGACACTGTCAGAACAGAATCAGCAGGCCTGGGTCCTGCTGGGTGTCCTTGGGAGGCCCAGGTGCCCTCTCTGGTCTTGTCTCCCCACCAGTATCAAGAAGTTTTCCTATCTGCTCCGAATACTCTGGTTTTACTGAAGGAAGGGAGGGCTCCTGTTGACTGAAGCCAAATCCCATCCCCTTGGACCCTGGTCCTCAGACCATCCCATTCTTGTGTCCCTTCTTTCTTCCCCCGGGGTCTGGCCTCCCAGGCCCTGCTGCCTTGGGGGACTGATGCAAGCCTGCAGGTGGCCTCCCCAAATCCAGCCTGAGGTGTCTTCTCATACCAGGTGACCCAGACACTACAGTGGGCTGTCCGCAGCTGGACAGATCTGGAGAGCAGCATCGTGTCAGTGGAGCGGATGAAAGACTATGCTCGGATACCCAAGGAGGTGATGGGTGGGAGACGGGGCAGGGGGGTGCCCCAGCTGGAATGTGCAGGGCAAGGCAGTGGGGCCCAGGTTGACATCTGCCCTGGGCACCCTCTTCTCCCCCCACTCAGCCCGCACCACTGTAGGCCAGACAAAGATGACAGCAGTGGTTAAGAGCGTGGGGTGTGGAGCAGAGTCAAATCCTGCTTCCTTTGCTTCCTAGCTTGAGCAAGGCAGGTCACCCATCTGAGTGACAGAGGGCCATGAGGAACAGCAATGCAGGGCAGTGTAACAGCAACATTATATTAGAGTGACAGCAACATTACTGCAACATAACTGCAACACTACAGTAACAGAACAGCAGCATAGCAGCAATGTATCAGCAACATGATAGCAACAATACAGTAACATGATAGCAACATGCCAGCAACATTATAGTAACAGAACAAGAACATAATAGTACTGGGTTTACTGGGGGGATCAAATGAGATCCTGCAATAATGGACTTAGTACAGTGTCTGGCCTACTGTAACCATCCAATATAAATCCTTCCTCTTATTAGCCCCATTTCCCAGGTGGAGGAACCAAGGCTCCAGAGAGTAGAAAGATCTGTTGAAGATCCCAGGAATAGCAAATAGCACCATTGGTCTCCACACTATACAGTCCTGTCCTTTTCACAGAGACAAAAAGGACCGTCCACTCTTACTACAGAAAGAGAGGATATTTTTCACAATAAACAGTGGTTAATAATAAAAGAGATTAAAGTGAGCCAACAGCATCATTATTTTTATGCTTCCAGACATTATTTTTGTTAGCCTTGCTATGTGCCATACCCTCTCTCATTTAATTCACATAACAACTCTATAAAATAGCAATAAATATGCCTATTTTGCAGAAGAGGGAACTGAGGCTCAGAGAGGTGGGCCATCTTGTGAGAAGCCCTAGAGGAAGGCTCCTCTGACTCAGTGTCCCCTCCTGCTCCAGGCCCCCTGGAGGCTTCCCACCAGCGCATCCCAGCCCCCCTGGCCTCACAGGGGGCAGATCGAGTTCCAGGGCTTTGGGCTGAGATACCGACCCGAGCTCCCACTGGCCGTGCGGGGTGTATCCTTCAAGATCCATGCTGGAGAGAAGGTGAGTGGCTCTCCCCCAGCGTCTTCCTCATGGAGGCCAGACCCTGAGCACCAGCTGCCTCCTCAATGTCCCCACCTCAGGTCACCTAGTTTTCAGACCCACCACACCCTAAACTGGACTCCTCATCTTCCCCAAACCTGCTTCCATCTGGTGACATTCCCCATCCATCTTGATGTCCCCAGATGAGGAGGCATCTCTCCAACTTCCTTCTTTCTCTAACATTAATTGGACACCTAGTACGTGCTGGGCAGCATGCTAAATGCTCCTCCATACACATTATCCAGTTGCATGGGATGGGTTCCTGGCTTTGCTATGGGCAACCTTGGGCAAGTCAATTCATGTCTCAGTCTCAGTCTTGCCATCTGTAAAATGGGAATAATGATATTGACCTCATAGAGTTTTTGTGAACTTTGAGTTAATACATATAAGGTGCCTAGCACATAGTAAGCACTTCAGGATGTTTACTACTGCTTTTATTAATTATTATTTGCATTTTTACTCTCACAACAACCCTATGAAGAAGGTACTAATACCCCATTTTACAGATACCTAGTCAGGCCCCTTCGTTGAATCTCTTTCCCCTCTCCCCACTACAGACAGTTCCTCCCTGCTGCCCTCCCTGTCCTTCCTCCACTGCCCCAGGCTCCCGACTTGAGCCCCCAGCTTCAAGCCTCACCACCTGCGGTCTATTCTCTTGTGATCTTTGAGCCCATTGTTCCCCTGCTTGAAACCTTCCACCAGCTCCCAGCTTCCCTCAGGGTAAAGTCTAAACTCCTGCAGTTGGCATTCAAGGCCCTGCCTAACGCAGGCCTTACCCCCACCCCCACCCCCTCATTGATTACTGTTCCAGGGCTTAGCCAACATTTGCAGAGTAGCTGCCTCTGGGCCAGGTGGGCACATGGTGCTACAAACTCAGTGAACTCCCTAGTCTCGTAAACCCACCTGGTGTGATTTACCTGGAGTCTTCCCCCTCCCCAAACTCCTACTCATCCTTTAAGGTTCCACTCAAGTATCTCCTCCTCCATGAAGCCTTCCTTGATTACCCCATCAAGCCCTATCCCAGGCAGCATGAACAGCACCTCCTTACTTACCTCAATTACTACAGATCTGGGGCTTTTTCATCACACTATATTAAAATTAAGATTACCCAGTTGCACTATTTCCAAGACCAGACAGTGAGCACTCTAGAGCAAGGACTCTAATTTCTTTATTCCTGGTGCCTAAAAGTGTACCTGGCATACAGTGGGGTAATCCACGTTTCATTCATTTATTAAACAGTTGAACCTTCCCATGTGTCAGACACTGAGGACGCAATAGTAGCGAGAGAGAGAAGGATGGGAGGAAGGATGGAGGATGGACAAAACATGTAATCCACGTTTCATTCATTTATTAAACAGTTGAACCTTCCCATGTGTCAGACACTGAGGACACAATAGTAGCAAGAGAGAGAAGGATGGGAGGAAGGATGGAGGATGGACAAAACATGGAGATGGAAGGAAGAATAAGGAAGTGTGGATGGATGCATAGAAGGAAAGATGAGGAATGAATGGAAGAAAAGATGATGGATGGATAGCCAGGATGGGGTGGAGGAAAGGATGAGAGGTGGGTGCATCGGGTGGGGGGTGGGTGCATAGGGTGTGGAGGTGGATAGAAGAACAGAGAGACAGACGGAAGAATGAGGGATGATGGAGAAGTATGGATACAAAGGTGAGGAAAGACAGAGGAGCAGAAGGAAGTGTGGGGGTGTAGAGTGAAGGAGGGAAATAGATGGAAAGATGGGAGAGATCAGGATGAAGGGAAGACAGCGAAGGATGCACTGGAAGGTTGGATGGATGGATGGATGGATATATGGAAAGGTGGACAGATGGAAGGGTAGATGGAAGGATGGGTGCTCAAAGGATGATGGACAGATGGATGGATCTTGGGTATGGGGAAATGTCTCCCAAATATGAGGGTACTTTGAAAAATTTGTGGAAAGACAGAATTGAAAGATGATACAAATCTTTCTGTGAACTTTTTGAAGTACCTTGTGGTGGCCATGACCTGTCTGGGCTGTGGCCCGCCTTCCTCTGGCCGGGCCTGGTCAGAGCAGGCCTTGACCTCCCACCCTCTGGCAGGTGGGCATTGTTGGCAGGACCGGGGCCGGTAAGTCTTCTCTGGCGGGGGGCCTGCTGCGTCTCCAGGAGGCGGCTGAGGGCGGGATCTGGATCGACGAGGTCCCCATTACCCACATGGGGCTGCACACACTGCGGTCCAGGATCACTGTCATCCCCCAGGTGAGGCCAGTGGCAGGGGGGGAGGGGAGGCATGGTGGGACCCTGCTCTAACCCGCTGCCCCTCCTGGCCAGGACCCCATCCTGTTCCCCGGCTCTCTGCGGATGAACCTGGACCTGCTACATGAACACACGGATGAAGCCATCTGGGCAGCCTTGGAGACAGTGCAGCTCAGAGCCTTGGTGGCCAGCCTGCCCGGCCAGCTGCAGTATGAATGTGCCGACCAAGGTGACGACCTGAGGTATGGTCACCCCTCCATAGCCAGGACCTGTAGGGAGCTGGGGTGGAAGTGAGAATGTCCAGGCTCCCCCCAGGGCATTGAATGGGACCTCAGGAAGTCTGCTTCCCGCCATGAGATTATCCACCCTATTCTATTAATAATCATACATCCTATCCATCCCTTATCTGCAGTTCTAAACTCAAGCACGGTCTCTGGATACCAAGTTTCTTTTTCTTAAATTAGCTTCCTAAATTTATTTGGTGGCAAAACCCAACCTCAACTGACATGAGGCTACTTACAGTCATTATTTATTCCCCTCAGTATTATTTCACTACATAAAAAAAATGTGTTTGATATTGGACGCTAACCCCACACCCACTTGGGCTGTTGGTGTATGCCTTTTTAAAAAATTTTTTTAAGTATGGCAAAATATACATAAAATTTATCTTAATCATTTTTAAGTGCATGGTTCAGTAGAGTTAAGCACACTCACATTGTTGTACAATAGATCTCCAGAACTCTTTTAATCTTGCAAAACTGAAACTGTCTCTGTTAAACACTAACTCCTCATTTACCCCTCCGCCAGCCCCTGCTCCCCACCATTCTACTTTCTGTCTCTATGAGTTTGACTGCTCTAGATACTTCTTATGAATGGAATCATACGGTATTTGTCTTTTGGGACCTGGCTTATCTCACTTAGCATGATGTCCTCGATCATCCATGTTGTAGCACGTGGCAGAATTTCCTTCCTTTTTAAGGATGAAAAATATTCCATTGTATGGATGGACTACATTTTGTTTATCCATTCATCTGCCAGTGGACATCTGGTTGCTTCCACCTTTTGCCTATTGTGCATAATGCTTTTATGAACATAGGTGTACAGGTGTATGCCTTTTTAAAAATTGAGACGTTCTGGATTTGTAAATCCATCTGGTCCTGGGGTGTTCAGAGAAGGGACTATAGAAGGTAATGGGTTCCAGCACAAAGGAGGCAGTGTAGCTTGGTGGGTTAGTGCATAAACAGGTGCCAGACTGCCTGGGCTCAAAACAGTTGTAGGATCTTGGGAGAGTTACTCAATCTCCCGTGCTTCAGTTTCCTCATCTGTAAAATGGGGCTAATCGTACCCAGCTACCTATGTGAGGATTAAGTGAGTCATGTGAGTAAAATTGTTGAAACAATGTCTGGCATACAGGAAGCAATAAATATTTTAATCCTCAGAGCCACACTCTCACTAATCCCATGTCACAGAGTAGGAATCTGAGGCCTGAGACTTGCTCAGGATTGCCCAGCTTGTTAAGTGGTGAGGCTGGAGCAGGGCCCAGGCACCCTGATGTTTGCATGGCCATAGTAGGTTCTGGTTCCCTGAAGAAACGCTTCTACATGGAAGGTTCTGCTGTGAGAGGAAGCAGAGTGTGGCAGGAAACAGCCCCTGCCACACTGGGTCCCCAGGGGCCAGTTCCCATCTGGGTCAGGGGTCTTACTGGCTGCATGATCTTGGACCTCAACTTCCCCATCTGTCATCAAAGTAAGAGAAGTTACTTCATGCCAAGGGGTTACTCTGCAACTAGCACACACAGTTTTATATGATTTTTCTCATCTTCACAACTAAGTGAAGAAGGACCTATTAGGGGCACGCTCTGGAATCAGAGGTCCTAGGTTCAAATTCTGACTCTACCACTAACACTGTGACCTTGGGCAAGCCACTTAACCTCTCTGCATCTGTTTCCCCCTCTGGCAAAAGGAGAGAACAATATCTACGTTTGTGGTCCTTACGAGACTGGAGTCAATATATACCCTAGCACTTAGAATGGGTCTGACAGATGACAAGGACCACAGAAGAGAAACAGAAATAGCCATGATTGGAAATAGAAAATAGCCATTTCACAAGTGGAGAAACTAAGGCACAAATGGGTTGAATGACTTGCTTGCCTAAAGCCATCCTGCTCAAAGACAACCAGATGAGGATTCCCCTGAGCTCTGTAGACTACAGACCCCAAGTGTGGGGATGTGCAGCCACGCTGGCACCCCACTTCTACAGCTGTCCCAGTACCCATTTGTGGGGATGTCCTATAAATTGTGACATACAGGCAAATGTATCTCTGACCTGATTGTCCCACTCATTCCCAGCGTGGGTCAGAAGCAGCTCCTGTGTCTGGCACGTGCCCTACTCCGGAAAACCCGGATCCTCATCCTGGACGAGGCCACAGCTGCTGTGGACCCAGGGACGGAGCTCCAGATGCAGGGCGCCCTTGGGAGCTGGTTTGAGCAGTGCACAGTCCTGCTCATCGCACACCGCCTCAGCTCAGTGATGGGCTGCACCAGGTAAAGCGCCCTCCCGCAGCTGGAAGGTGTCAGGTGCACTCCCTGCCCACAGGGGTCAGAGGGGAAGGGATGCCTAGGACCCATGCCCAGCAGATACTTCCAATGTGGCTGTCAAGGTCAGGAAGCTACAAGGAAAATCAGACTCCTGGGCGGCAAACCTTGGGGCAGATATGCTGGGATCCCAGAGCTACTAAGTGCCTGGGCTGGGGTCCAAAAAGCAGCCTTGTCTCCCTCTCCCCCGCAGGGTGCTGGTCATGGACGAGGGACAGGTGGCAGAGAGCGGCAGTCCAGCCCAGCTGCTGGCCCAGAAGGGCCTGTTTTATAGGTTGGCCCAGGAGTCAGGCCTGGTCTGAGTCTGGCCCCTCAACTGTCTCCCTGCCAGGCCAGACCACAGAGCCTGCAGTCCTGGAGATGCAAGTGACTTGGGGGTCATTGATGGCCCCATGTGATGTTGAGTCTAGACCCCTCTCTGCTCTCTGGGAGGAAAATGCCAGTGAAAGTGGATGATTGTCACAGGGCATCAGACCTGGAAGGATCCAGCAGCCTGTAGGTCTGCCTGGACAAGGCCCATCCAACCCTGTCCACCCTGGAGCCAAAGTTGCTAATGGCTCTCAGCCATGGCTGCCCATTGGACTCACCTGGGGAGCTCAAAAACATTCCCAAGCCCAGGCTCCACCCCAGACCAATTAAATCAGAATCCCTGGGGCTGGGGCAGGGTGAGGCCAGGCATTGGCAAGTGTACTTTTTACAAATTAACCCTTTTATTTTGAGATCATCCTAGATTCACATGCAGTTGTAAGAAATAATAAGAGAGATCCCGAGTACCCTTTACCCCATTTCTCCCAATGGCAACATTTTGCAAAACTCCAGTACAACATCACAACCAGGATATTGACGTTGACACAATACACCCATCTTGTTCAGATTCCCCACTGTACTCGTACTCATTTGTGTGTGTATTTAGTTCCATGCGATCTGATCACATGCGTAGGTTCGTGCAGCCACCTCCACAGAGAAGATACAGAATAGTCCTGTCGCCACGAGGATCCCTCCTGTTGTCATTCTGTACCCACACTCCACCCCCTCCTTCCCCCGGAACCACTGATCTGTTCTCCGTTTTGGTGTGTATTTGTCAAGCTCCCCACACAATTCCAATGTGCGGCCAGCCCTGGGAACCACTGCCCACACCTCCTGCTGTTCCATGCCCCTGTAGATGAGCTCCAAGGGGCATCTCGTCTGAACTGGACATACAAGCCAGGTCCCCCCACACCAAGGATGGGCCCTTTCTGGGCACGAGCAAGAACAGTGCACATGTTCAGTTGCCAAAATGAGAGGAGAGGAGCCTGCACTCCTCAGCCCCCGCTGGGAGAATTTACCCAGGATTTGGCACATTTCATACATGTGCTTGTTTTAGCCAAGGACAATCAACGCACAGCTCACAGCATCGCTCATGCCTGTTTCTCACAGTGGCCAGAATTCTAATACTGGACCCAAACCAGCTTCAGGCAGCAGGAAAGAGGAAGTAAGAGTCTAAAAGAGGTTAGCTTAACGTCACACACAGATAGCTGTGAAGGCAGCCTGAGAAACCAGACAGCTCCCTCGATCCTTACTTTATGCTGGCCCAGGGTTTTGCTCGACATAATGGCATTGCTGCAGAGATAAGACAGTTAATGCATGGAAATGTGCTGTGCTCACGGGAAGTGGGGAGGGTACATACAGCCTTCCTCCACCTTACCGCTATTGACGTGGCTGGGTAATTCCCTGCCATGGGGGGCTGTCCCATGCACTGTGGGATGTGTCACAGCATCCCTGACCTCCACCCACTGGATGCCAGAAGCATGCCTGCCCTGCCCCCCACCACAGTGGTGAAGATATTTCTTCAGACACTGCCATATGTCCCGAGGGGTCAGAATCACCTGGCTAGGAATCAGTGGTCTAAGCTGCCCCCCTGCCATCAATAATCCACCAGATACTTGGGCAGTGGCTGTGGCAGTGTCAGGAGGGGCCCACGGACACCAGCCTGCTCTCCAGAACACAGGGACTGATAAGCCTCAGCCAGGTGATGGGGACTTTCTGATGGTCCCTTCTGTCACAGGGTCCTATGTTTCTCCCTTCAGCCCAGAGTAATCTAAATCTAGATCTAACTGCAGCTTCTGCCACCTTTTACCAAGATGTAGCCAGAAGCTTCTTTTGATACCTTCAAGATTGGCTCACCTGCCCCACACCCGCTGCTACCACCTATTACTAGCTTCATTTTGCAGATGAGAAACTGAGGCTCAGAGTTGACACAACTTGCCAAGCTCATCCAAATAGTTAGTGGCACAGCGGGGATTTGCTCCCGGGCCTACCTCCAAGTCATCACGGGGGATGTGGGGACAGGGGTGTCCTTCGGAGAAAGGGAAGGCACCACTACAGCACTTTTCTGTTCTCCGCATGGAGCTGAGCTGCCTGGCATCCCCCACAGAGTGGTCACAGGCAGAGGCTGCTGTGCATTTGGCAAACTCAGCCGGGATTGCTCCAGGGCCACCAGAGCCTGTTTCATGGGCCAGCGTCTGCCAGGAAGGTGGCTGGCACGTGGGAGCCAGCACTGCGAGACCTGACAAGCTGCTGCTGGGCTCACACCATGGCAACCTGGGGACCAGCCACACCAGCAGAGCCACCCAGGCTATTAACCCCCAGCCATGGGCTCCTGCCAGCAGGGCCTGGCTGGCGGGTGGAATATGGTTAGATCCAGCAAGGCCACATTGACCTTCCTTGGCCAGTGTCTGTTCCAGTAGGTTCTTTAACCTCACCCCCATCCACCTTGTCACTGCAAACACACAACTGAGAGTGCCGGCCACTGTCTAAATGCCTGCCCCACAGTCACTCGGTTAACCCTCACAACCAGAGGACGAGGGCACCATCATTCGGCCCCTTTCTAGCGTCCTTTGATGAGGAGGGTACTACCAGGGGCCCTTTTATGGGTGTGCTGTGGTTAGGCTACAAGGTCTCTTGTAGAGAAAACAGAGCATAAGTAGGTATCTGAACCCAGGCAGTCTGGCTTAAGAGCCTGTGTTTCCACTATTAGGCCACAGTGCTGCTGCTTCAGTTCACTGATAAGAGCTAACTCCAGTCTGGAATCTCACCACAAGGACAAGGAAGGAAAGGGCTTCCTTCTTTCCTTGAGCCAAGGGCTCTGTGTACATGTGCCACTGCATTTCCCCAAAACCTAGTACAGTCCGCAGCACGTAGGCTCAGTAGATGGTGATTGTGTGGCTGGCTGGCTGGCTGGCTGGCTGGCTGGCTGGATGGATGGATGGACGGACGGACGAACAGACGGATGGACGGACGGACGGATGAATGAATGAGCGAGTGAATGGCAGCACTGTGTATGAAGGTGTCCTCAGCCAGGCATGGTGCTGGGTGCTCTACCTGACCTGCTTTCACCCTCGCAACCACCAGCCAGCTGGATGTGATGACCCCAGTTGTACAGAGGCCCTAATGATTCACCCTCAGGAGATGGCCCAGTACCCGATCAAAGAAGCCAGTCATCGGTGCATGCTGTGTCCACACTCCACAGGTAGGGATTCAGCAAGGGGTAAACAGATGAACCCCTGCTCTCACGGATCTGCCATTCTAACACAGAGGGGGAAGGGGACAAGCGAGGCTGACTTCCAGGCATAGAGAGAGGCCCAAGGCAGGACCTGGGGACAGCAGTAGAAACGCTGAGTGGCTGGAGAGGCCCGAGCAGGGCCAGAGGGAGGAGCAGAGGACAGAGGTCCTGGGAAGCCAGGTTGTGCAGGGCCATGAGGTCCAGGCTGGCTACTACTGTGAAGTGGGGACACAGGAGGGTTGTGACAGAGGAGCCACACAATTGACGTATGTTTTTATGGGATCACCATGGCCGCTGGGTCGAGAACAGACTTTTTTTTTTTTTTTTTTTTTTTTTTTTTTTTTTT